GATTTTGTGCATGGCCCTGCCAGCTGTGTGCATTCTCCGAGACCATGTGAGGACAAGGATGCTGTATTTTTAGAAAACGAAAGAAGAAAATGAAAAGAAGAAAATGAAAAGAAAAATTGTACAGAACTCTGCAGCATAGTTTCTTTTCTGCTTTTTTTCTTTCTCTCTTTTTTTTATTTAAAGAAAGTCACGCTTTCCATTTGCTCCTCTCCTTCTCCTCTGTTAACTGGGTTTCTCTGACAAAAAGGGTCAGAAATTCAATTAGGAAAAACTCACAGCCATTGCAAACATCTGCAGTTCAAAATACATTAGCGATTCCACTTGGGCAGCCTTCATACCTCCTGTGTCCTTTGGGCACCGCCGGGTCCTGCAGCCCCTGGTGTGCGCAGGGCTGAGAACGCGTGCATCACTCCTGTGAGTTTTTATTGTAAGGGAGGGAACCTCACAGGACAAATGTGTAATGTTGTAGAAGCAACAAGGTTGCATGGATACCAGAACACAAACGGAGCGGCCTGCACTTTGAGAATTTGAATTCTTGGGAGGAACAGCTATCTCACTGTGTTTGGATGGTGTTTGGATGGAGCTTAATAAAATGGACTGCTCCAAGCTAGGCCTCTGCAGGCTTCCAAGCTACAAACAATGAAGAATAATATCACAATTTTATGGTAGTTAGCATGGCTGAGTTACATCCTGGACGGTCTCCACAGAATCCTGCGACTGGCTTTGATTTGAGTCAGAAGAGAAGGGTTTTACACCCACATTGCTGAGGATAAATGTACACCATGCACGGGGCTCTGGAGATTGAGCCCACAGCATATTTCTGGCATTTACAACACATTTCAGTGCGGGATACCCTAAGCTGCACTGGTACTGTTACACTTATTGAGCCGGGTGGACTAGCATCACTGACAAAGCACAGCCCATTTTTAATAGCTCTGACCACCAGGCAGAAGACATCTGCGACTTGCAGCAACTCCACCGCCTCACTGGGCTGGGGAGTGGGGAACAACTGCATCTAACCCACCAAAATAGCGGGCTGTGCTGGTATGCAGGAGCCCTTGCTCAATGCCTAAACATGGTATCTTGCTACCCAGGCTGGCAGGGCTGCTGGTCCCACTCAGCCTTGAAGGTGAAGCTCATGTCACTCAGCACTGAACAGCTCGGCAGGAAGGGCAGGGGGAGTGTGCATCAGAGTGTTACTGACTGCCTTTGCTACAAAACCTGGGCATTTCTCCAGGGAGAGCTGGGTCTATCCCTGCTGAAGTCAACGTGGGACAAGTGCAACAGCTTTATTGGACCCTGCCCCATTCACAGGACACCAAACCCTCTCCAAAAATACTGGAGCTTCAAATGTCAAGGTGCACAGGTGGCACAGGCCATGGGCACCTCTCTCCTCACCGGCAGGGACACTGTAAAATCTTTCTGAGTCCCTTCTCACCACCCTGCTTAGCTGAAAGCTTGGAGCAGATTTGCATCTCACATCTATTTAAGAAAACTATCAACCACGAAAGCATCTGGAAAGTCACACCAAGAAAAGTTTCAAAGAAAACAAAGCCTGGCCAGAGAGACGGAGCTGGCATAAGGATCCAAAAGGAAGAGCTGGAAAAGGAGGAAACAATCTTTGTGGTGCTGGAACAGCAGCTCTCCTGCTTGCTCTCCTTACAGCTTTCCTGTTGCTGTTCCTGGGCCAGGTGACAGGACAGAAGTGCTCTGCCTGCTGTCAGCACTCTGCTTTGCAAACTGCCGCCTGTTCCGCACTGCACCTGTGACAGCTCTGTTCCTGAAGGCAGGTGGCAACTGAAAGGAGGGAAGAAAACCTTCCCGTGGCACATGCCCCTCTGAACCCAGGCCAACAAAATGGTCAAAAGCAGAGAGAAACCATCCAAAGTGGGTGAGCTTCCTGGGATTACGGGCTGAACTTATACCCCCTTGTCCTGCGAGGCACTGACGTGGTGTGGGGCTCAACTGCAGAGGGCATTTCTTGTGGTCTCTTTCCAGAGCCAACACACTCGTGGCTCTCAGTCCATCGTCAGCAGCCGTGGCAGGATAAAACCCCAGAGCACACAGAGCTCCACGCAGCCTCTGCACTAAAACAGGTTGCTCCTCCCAACCAACCCAACCCTCAACCCAAACGCTGCAGAAATGGGAACGTCTCTCCCTGCCACGGCTGTGCCCTGACTGCCCACCTGCCTGTGCTCACAGCCGCTGCTCCTTGCTCTGAGACACTGGTTGGTCCCACACAGCTGGAGCTCCTCGTGTCTCTAAAAGCCTGCATGGACTGAACAGAGCTCAGCATGCGGTGCTGGGAGCCCAATGTGGGGCACCCTGCCCTCGTGTGTCACCGCTCGCAGAACACACGGGTGCTGCTGATGGAGCTGCATTTTGTGTCAAGGAGCACCGCATTCCTTCCCCCAAACCACGCGCTGTGCAAACCCTGGAAATCCTCCCTCAGCACTCTGTCATCGTGTAATTCCATTATAATTCCTGACATTGAAGGGGCTTCTAGCAGCATATGCTTCAAATGAGACAAATGAGACCTCTTGCTTGCCGTTTCCAGACAAATAAAGAAGTGCAAAACATGATTTTCTGATGCTCTGGTCTTTGTATGGATTTTCTTTTCAGCCTATAAATACTACCCCGTGGTTACAGATATCACGCAAAAAAGGAACCTCATGTTTGGTGCACACGTGTTCCATAGCATAGCTGACTGCAGGAAGGTGCCACGCAGAAGTCAGGATCGGCTTTTGTGAGGTTTTTGCACTCCTGTGAGGATTTGGACTTCCATGGCACAAAGTTTGCACTTGTCTCTGAAACAAAAGGGAAGGAGGTGATGTGTTTCATAACCAGACAGACAGCCCAAATATAAATCCGCCTGCAGATCCCGTGTGAATTCCATTTGTGTTCCCTGCTCCTTGGTCCTTTGGGATCCTACATATCTTGCATCATTATCAAATATTTGCAACAATCCATATGAACGGCTTGATGTTAAAAGCTACTCTGAGTGTAACTGGACCCGGAGGAGAGATGCTTATCTGAGCTCCGCAATGACAGATTCAGAAGAGCCGCAGTGAGCTTCTCATCAAGAGAGGGAACAGCAGGAAAAACCAAAACTGCATCGATTTTTGAACAACAAACACGGTAAGAGTTATTTCTATGGCTTTCATAGAGGAGTACCACCGGAGAGGACTCCAGCACTGCTGGCCCCAGGCACGCTGCCCAGTGGAAGAAGGAAAGAGAGGAGCACACAAATGCTCGGTGCCAGACTCTATTTCCCTGTTTGGTTATTGTTGCTTTTATGACATCACAGACCGTAAGAGCTGTCGCTTTAACCCAAAGAACTGATAAGTGCAGAGCAGACATTCCTTTTTTTTTTTTTTTAGCCAAAGCCGCCAAAACCGCTTTTTGCTCTGCGGTTCTGACCCCGTGCAGGAGGTGGGGGCAGCCGGGGAGCCCCGCAGTGTCCCGCAGCGCCCGGCTGGGGCACCCCGAGCTCCTCATTTTAGTTATCAGAAGGCATTTGAGAATGGCTCCATACTGGCTCGGCGTTTTCCTTTTTTTTTTTTTAAAAAAAAAAAAAAGAAAGAAGGAAAGAAAAAGAAAGAAAACAACATTCTCCTTTCTCAACATTCTCTCAACATTCTCCTTTCTCAAGTGCTTCCAAATCTTTTGCATCTCTTTCCCTTTCCAACCCCCACCTTCTTCTTTCCCCCGTTGTGGTCCTGCAGACCACCCTGTAAGCCTACATGACATCACGAGGGAGAATTAAACGTACTTGAAAGGCCACTTCTGTTTTGGTGGGAACTTCTATGCAATTGCAAAGTGCCCATTAAAGCACAGGTTGTTTCCTAGAAGCATGTCCAAGCAGCAGCGCGCAGAGCCCTCCAGGGCTTCTAGAAAGCATTCGCTTTTGAAATGCTGAAGGAAATTCAGAGATGAAAGGATAAGTCTCCCTGGCTGTGCATTTACAGTCTATTGTCTTCCATGAAGGATAGTATCACTCCTCAGTTGTGTTATTGCAGTTAATCCACTTAAATGCTATTGGATTTTCAGATGAGCTGAATTCTTTGCATCTGCTATTAAGATGCTTTGTTTAGATGAGAAAGGGCCGTTATTTAAATCACAATGAGTTCAGGGAGATGTCAGGGAGCAGCAGCACCTTGTGCCAATCTGCGCCGGGAGAACGGGGGGCATCGGCGCTCCGGGAGGGCGGAGATGCGAGAGAGGAGCGGAGCCGCCCCGCCCGCTGCTGGGGGTTGGGGGGGGCGCAGCGGTTCCGCGGCCGCGGTGGGGAGCCCCGCACTCGCGTATGGCGCAGCCGCTGCCGCAGGGCGCCCGCTGCCTTTCGCTCTTATTTGGTTTTGGGGGGGGGGGGAGAGCTTTCCCCTTTGCAACGGAGGCTACGCGAAAATAATTATATATATACGTAGAGAGAGAGAGAGAGAGAGAACCCAACCCCGATCCACTGCTACCCTGCCCCTCCCCTTCTGCCAAAGGCGAGCCTCCCCCAATTAAAAAAATAAAAATAACCCCAAGCCCTCAGCGATCATGGCGATCTCTTCGCCTTATATAAAAGGCAGCGGGGGCACAAGGTGGATCCCGTCAGGTTACGGCGGCTGTTGCGCAGCAGCTCCCCCGCCCCGGTGCCGCAGAGAGCCCCGCAACCCCCGGCACTGTTCCAGCTCCTTTTCTTTTTTTTCCCCCCCCGTCGTTCCCTCTCGCCCCCCCTCTCTTTTTGCATGTGGGCAGACCCCTCTCCCAAGGCTGCAGCTGCCGGCGGCCCCCACGCCACGACTTGTTGGTGGGGCTGGGTACCGGGAGGAGGGGCGGGGGAGGCGCCTGGCAGCGCGCAGCGCTAAATGCCGCTCCGGCGGCCGCACGCTGCAGACAGGCCCGGTTGCTGCGAGCCCGGAGTGCGCCCTCCGCCCGGAGTTGCAGTTCGTCTCTGCTCCCCGTGGGATTTAAATTTTCTTGCGTAGAGACAGATTATATATATATACATATATATATATAAAAATTTTTTCCTTCCTCCTTTTTTTTTTATTTTTTATTTTTTTTTTTCCTTTTTCTCCCGTGCAAAGTGAGGAAGGAACTGCACCAAGGCAGCCCTCGAGATCTCGCAGTATTGCTCCGTTTTATCGCTGCTATTATTCGTTAATTAATTCCCTTTTTTTAATCTCAACTCCGAACGGACTGTTCTCAGAGAGAGAAACGTTTCGATCCGTATCAGTAATTTTATTTTTCGCCCTTTTTGCGAGAAAAAAAAGCGGGGAGAGGGTGCAGTGCGGCCCGGCGGGGCGGGGGGAGACGCCGGCAAATCCAAAGCTCCGCCGGTCCCGGCGCAGAGCGGCCGCGGGGGGAGGCGGGACCCAGCGCCGCCCGCCAGGGGGGCGAGCCGCCCCACACAGGTGATGGGCGTTTCGGCTGCGCTCCGGATCGACTCCTTGGGTTTCACTTTGGTCTGATCTAAGCAAATATGCAGAAGTACCGGCTGGTCTAGTCCTTAGAGCCAAGAGGAGCGAGCGAGAGCGGCAGAAAGGAGAGCGGCCGCGCTCCCGTTGGAGGGGAACGTACAAACAGCGGCAGCGCCGTAATTCCAGCACCGCCACGCCGAGGCAGCCCCGAGCCACCCTGGATGCGGAGGACCCCCGAAGCCACCCCGCTGCCTTTCCCCTGAGGGATGGTACTGAATTTCTGCGCGGCAGGAGCCGGCCTGCAGCTCCTCTCCATCAGCGTTGCCTTCCCTCCGTATCTAAAGTGCACTAGACCGCGATGAGGACCTGGGCTTGCGTTTTGCTGATAGGTTTTGGCTACCTGTCCTTTACCTCCTGCGAGGTAGGTGCGAGAGCTTCGCCGCGTTCTCGGTGCCCGGGGGAAGCCGCAGCCGGGGCTCGGGGCGGGGAAGGGCTGCGGCTGTGCCCACCTGGGGCCCGCGGGCATCCCCGCGCCTCGGCCCGGCCGGAGGCACCCGCCCAGCCCCGCGAGGCAGAAAGCAAGTTGCCATTTCGTGCGTGCCATCGGCACGGGGAATGACCGTGCATTCCGCTCCGGGGCTGTTGGCTGCGCTTGAAAAAAATAATATAGATATATATGCGTACCCACATGTTTATAGGATATATAATAGAGAGATTCACGCCCCCCGGGTACAAACGGGCTGCGGTTATTTGCAAACAGAGCGGGAGCGGAGCCGCCCGGCAGCGGCCGCCCCCGCGGCGCACAGCGCAGCGCGCAGCGCAGCCGGCAGCGCTGCGGGAACGGCACGAGCGGGGTGCGGGCACGGGTTGGGTGCGGACCCCGAGCTGAGCGCAGATCGGGGGTTGAGGCCCGGGGGGGGCCGATCGGCGAGGCCGCGTCCCGGGCTTTGCTACAGGTGCCGTCGGGCGGGGGCTGCGCGCCGCTCGGCGCTGCGGGGCGGCTCCAACTTTTCCCGGCCCGGGGGCTGCGGTACCCTCCCCGCTCCGGTAGAGCCGGCACCGCCGCGAACTTTCAACCCGTTCGGGCAAACTTCGGCGGGCGGCTCTGCGGGTGGGCTCCCAGAAGGGGCGGGGGAGGCTCGGGGAGAAGCGGCGCGGTTCCGGCGGGCACCGAGCCCGGCAGCCCAGAGCCCAACCGCGCCGAGGTGCTCGGCAGAGCCGTGGCGCAGCCCCGCGGGTGCGCTCCGGCAGGCGGCGGAGCCGGGGGCGAATCTTTCCCCCGCTCGATCCAAACTCGCCCCGCGGCACCCCGCGTCCTCTTGGAATCCCCGTGCCCATCCCTCGGCCGCGGAGCGCCGCGCGGGGCTGCGCGCTGACCCGCGGTGTGTGTGTGTGTGTGTCTTTGAAGGAGGCCGAGATCCCGCAGGAGCTGATCGAGCGGCTGGCGCACAGCGAGATCCACAGCATCCGCGACTTGCAGCGCCTCCTGGAGATTGACTCCGTAGGTAAATTAGTCCCGTCCTCCTTCCTTCCGCGCCGGCGGCCGCCGCCGCCCCGGGGGGAAGCACCGCTCCGCTCCGCGCGGGGAGCTGCGCTGCCGAGGGAGGCGGCGGCCACGGGGCCGCTCGGGAGTTCAAACTTCGTGGGGTTCGGGGTGGAGAGGGACCCGGTGACCCTCAGTGCTTTCAGAGTTCTCCGTCTCTCGGCGGAGAAGAATTTCCGTAAGGGTTGCTGTTGTTCTTGCATTGCTCTGTTATCTTTAAACTACTGTCCTAGAGGTATTTAAAATATTTGAAACAATATTTATGAATGAAGTAATGTCTCTTCAAGTGCTGGGCTTTATTAAAAGGAAAATAAACGGTCCGCGCTGATTTTGAGCAGGAACCTGTGCATGGAGCTCACCCTGACAAATACACTTTCCCCAAAAGAAAACAGCGCGGGGTTATTTTCTGCATCATTAGGCATGCAAATGGGTGTAGTGAGAACGTGCAGTTCAAACAGATCGTTGCAGCAGTAAATCAGACGGAGCGGTGCAGGACTGCCGGGCTGGCTTATCGTTGGTTTCACTGGATGCACTTTGCTCCTGGTGATTTCGTGCCTTAGTTGTGAGAGAATAAACCCGACGCCTTTGATGTGCCCAAGGGAAACCGGCATCGCTCTGAGGAGCAAACATGGAGAGAAATGAATGAGTTCTTGCTTGCGTTGGTACGGGGCCATCTCTTTCTAAACCATATGCTGTGTGTTTTTGTAAGGGCTGTGCCAGGTTCAGTCACCTTCATTCAGAGTTGCAGGATCCTTCTAGAGTGCAACTCATCGCCTTTGGTGTGGCGCTGCGTTAAGGAGCAGGAGGACAGCATGCTTGGAAGGTGTCTTACAGACATAGCTTTCAATTTTCACGTGATTAGGGAGCAGAGTTTCCCATTATACTGAAAATGAGAGTGTTTCTTTCTTGGCGCAGTACTTTACCGTAGAGACCAATTAGTAATTACCAGTTCTGTTGGCATTGCTTTAATATTTTTGGAGAGCAGTGCTCCATCATCAGTGCAATTAAAGAAGCTTTCACAGCGGAGGAGGGGGATGCAGTGCAAATCTCCCCACTGAATGCTGCTTTGGACCAGACAAGTGTGCTACTGCTGAAATCAGAGGAGGGCCGTGCTGCAGAAGGGCTGGAGCTGAGCGCTGGGGTTTTGGAATGCCGTATTTAAGTCAGTGCTCTGTAGCTACCAGAGTACATCTGCATTTGCAGATAGGCCGTGCTTCATTTTTAAAAGAGAGCAAAAGTTCACAGGGCTCCACTGAGGCAAGCAGACAAGTGGTGGCGGGAGCTGAATCCATCAGTGCGTGTAGCAGGGGAGAGAAATGTATTTCAGAAAAGAATTATTTACCTCGTGGCAAATATTAACCAGAGGATGTGTGACCAAAAACTGAAGAGGTCAGCCGCGAGTTTACAGCTTCGTTCTGCTGTTTCCATGCAACGTGTCAATTTAGAAACCATTAGAGAAACGAGGCATGCATATTTCACTATTTCACTGTGAAATGGTAATGCCTTAAGACGTGAACTCAAAACAATATTAAAAAATAAAATATTCAGCCTTTCAGCCTGTGCCTGCTCTGTTTGCACACATGCTGAGCTGCATAGGCAGGGTTGGATCTCCACAGGCAGTCGCTGCTCCTTCCTACCTGCCTGTATGCTTTCTGGGCACGGTCTCTGCTGCCGTGAGTAATGCCTACCGAGGGGTTATCAGAGTGACTAATCCAACATTGGAATTACCGTGTTTTCTTCAGCTAACAGGATTGGGCCTGTTTACTGTCTGTAATACAGGCTTGGCTTAGCAGATCAGCTGTGTTTTGAATGCTGTTGGTGAGATGATCTTTCTGAAACGTGTGTATTTCTTTAGGGCTGTCGTTGCGTTTAGGGAAGGGCTGGTTTGGTGAGGGCCTGTGCAGTAGCTGTATTTCTCCTTTATGGCACGTACTGATTTGACTCAAGGAACAGAATTAAACACTCCAGCAGATATCTGCTCCTTCGTTTCAGTGCATGGTGCTGCCAGCCCTTCTGCATGCGAGTAGCCCTGTTTAAACTCAGTGGGTGGACTTGAGAATTAAGTATGATCTACGGGAAGAGTTTGCAGGATGGGGCACGCATGCAGAAAATGTCTGATATTACTGAGTAACGAGGCAGAATCTTGTGGAAAACGAAGGAAGAAGAGTCGTTTTCTTTCCTGCCATGCAAAGCATGCATTTTTAATTGGGAAAGTAAGTTTTGTAAGTCAGAGTGGGCAGGCTTTTCTTGTATTCTGACAGATTTGGTCGCTATATTGTAGCGCAGAGATGACTGATAACCCCCTTCATAAAATTAGAAACGACACCCCCAGACCATCTGTCGTATTACTTAAAGAAAAACACTACCCAACATGGAGCTTATCATTGTTTTCACAAAAAGACAATCCGGGCCAGTTTGTCAGAGCCTGGTGCTGCATGTCCAATCCAAGGAGAAACCCCTGCAAAGGCAGCACGAAAATGCTGCGTTCACATCAGAAAACAGCCTTGTATGTTGAGTTAACACTGGGATGTGAGTCAGTGCTGGGCGTTCGTTGGCACGATGGAGAGCAGAAGCTGACCTTATTTAAAACAGAAAGCACACACGCTCCCAGGAAGTAGGCAGCTGCAGCGTGCGGAGTTCAGATTTACTACTAGCAGACTAACTCACCAAAACGGGGGCATTTCCTACATTCCGCCTCTGAAAGCTCCCCTTGGCTTTGCAGCGTGGTTTCTCTCCTCGCGCTTCACCTCTCCCATCTGTCCTGTGGGAGGCAGAGCTCATTTCATCACCTCTTATGTTTGCCTCCCGCTGGGAACAGACTTCCCCAGTCCTCTCCCTGCCTGGGGAAGCTGGGCTGAGTGTGTTTCGCTGCATGGTTTAAGGGCATCAACCGCAGGGTCAGCTCAGGCCACGCGAATGGAGCGGCCCGTGAGTAAGAACTGGCAGAGCAGCTTTGTGCTGATGGAGGAACTTCTAAACGAAGGGTTTGTGGGCTGCGTCCCAGTGCTCAGTCTATTGGAAAACCTTCTGTTGACTTTGTGGCTTTTGGGGTGGTGCACCAATTAGAGATGTTACAATGTGATGTTAGCTTGCCTTGCACCTCTTAAGCATGATGAGAGGCGGGCGTCTGCCTCCTGCGCTTCTCTGAGGCAGGTGGAGGATCTCCTCTTCCCTTGCAGTTGGCAGATCCCATCTAAGAAGAGGAAAAAACCAACCTGAACAAAACAGGACCTTGCAGGCTGCTACTTATATTTCCTTTAACAGATCAAAGTTGAAAACTTAATGGCCTCTATTCCTGCATTTGAATGTCAGGAGGGCATATTTTGCATCAGTCAGAAAGGAGATCAAACAGATTGACGTTGCCTTGGGCTTTCTGGCTCTAGGACCTATTTGTAAGACAGACCATTTCGCTTTATTGTACCTTACACCAAATTCCTGGAAGCAGGGAGGCTGAGAATTTCCCCAGCTCCTGCAGTTGGTACTAGAAATCTTGGACCTACTCTTCTTGGATGTGCATCCAAGTGACATCTAGAAGGGTTCGTGTTAGGGCTGCTTATGTTGGTGACTGTACCTCGCACATAAAGTTGCTCAGGAAGGAGATGGCAATGTGAAAATATAAAATGACAAACATAAAGTAACAGTAGTCTCAGGATGCTTTCCACTTGCTTTTTTTGGGAGAAGAGTAATCACGTATTGGCAGAGTGTCGCAGGAGTTCTGTGATTTATACTCCATGACCTCGTGGAAAAATGCCAGGCTGACAAAAAAGAACAATTTCAGCTACACTAATGGATTGACCAAGGCTGATTGCAAGAGTTTTTCTACCCAGCATTGACATGTTGTCAGTACGTGAGAGATTACGGAGAAATTTCTTGATCAGCTGCCATGAAAAGCATTTTTTTTTATTATTAAAATGTTAAAAAAGAACTTAATTAATCTGGCACAGTGCAGCATCCTCCATCTTTGCTTAGTGACAAGCAGCGTTCAATTTCTAAGCGAAGAACTGCCCATTCCTGAGCTTTCTGCTCTCAGGCCCTTTTTGTGAGGTGCTCAACACCCATAAACCTCCATTTTCTTTGCTAAGAGCTGGAAGACCTTGTCCTGCAACTTCATGTTCCCAAGTCAATACATCGGTGGAAAAAACTGATACAAATTAAGGTGTGATTTGTTGAGGAGTTTTTCTGGCAGGTTGTAGATTAGGCATTGGGTTTCTTTAAAGTCAGACTGGAGAGAGTCATTTGTAATTACTGTGGCATAGTTGTTTTAATGAAGTGCAATAAAATATTCTGTCTGCCTGTTTAGAGTGATATGTGGAATCCAAAACTGTCTTTCTGATTTTTCAGTGCAGTGATTTTTCTTTGGGCTTCATTGGGAAATGGAACTGCTCCGAAATGCCAGTGGGGGTCAAGAGGAGAAGGAGTGCCTTTAGCATTACAGTGTTGTCTGACACCAACCATGTGCTCCTTAATGCTATTTATTAAAGAAGAAAAAGCAGCATCGTTGCTTTGGCAATAGAAATAATACAATTCGTGTTGCATAATGCATTGGGGTTTGACTGGAACTTGTTTGGCACTTTGCTGTGCTAGCTGCTTAAATTTTTTCTTTTTAACCACCACAACGAGATGTGAACTTACAAAATGATATACATGCCTAAGATATGTAGTGAGACAGTGAGATGCAGCACGAGCCAGAGGCCTTCTTCACCTTAGGAGTCGTCTTATAAGCAACACATGCTCCTCGACATGTCATTTTGCTTTATAAACATGATGATGGAATATGGCTAATTGCAGCTGAGTTGAGCAGTTAGATATAAGCACATGGCTAAACATATTGGTTAACTGATCATACTATTCCTTTAGTCTTACTCTTTTCTTTAAACAAGAAAGCAAGGAATCAGTCATGTTAAAAGGAAGCTATGGCAGCGTGTTGAATAAAGCATTAGGACCTGTGGCTCAGGCTGGCATCACTGGCAGCTTCTCTTTTCAGCAAGATGGCTATGCCCACTGAGCAGTTAGGGTTAGCAGCATTAGTGTTGTGTTTAATCCTTTTTAAACTCTGTTTGAGTGTGCACAGAGATGCTTCTTGCTCTGAGCCTCGCTTAGATCTCGCACTGAGCAGCGTTCCTGCTGCTTTCTTCTGAGTATCACTTCATTGCCTCAAAGCGAGGGAGAGGCTGTGACAACCTGAACTTGCCAAGAAGGACGTCAGCATTAAGGTGTTGGGTGGCTGGGCGTTAGGAAGCAGAAAAAGGCTGGAGGAAGATCAGAACGGATCCTCATTTTGCATAACAGCATTTGGGGTCAGGTGGATGGCTCGCTGCCATTGGAATGGGATGCAGGAGACCTGGCTCTGTTCCCCAGCGCAGTTGCAAACTTCCTGTGGGATCTCAGGCAAGCCATTCTGTTTACCCCACAGATGAATTTTGTGGAGTATGGGGTGCAATAAAAGCAGAAATAAAATGCATTAGTCATTGCTATGTTACATTACAGGGCTGGGATTGCAAATAAGGCCCATAGTCAGCTAATCTGTTTGGTTCCAAAATTTCTCACTGCAGTCAATGGGAAGCAAGTGCTCTGCATTGGTGGAAGGAGCCTATTTATCTGGTAGATTGAAACTCTGGATTTCACACCGACTTATTTCAGACAAGGATCTGTTCCGCTGATGAGGAAAAGCGGATTGACGGGGCTTCCTGGCCCTATTTTTTTTTTTTTACTCTCATTTAATCTTGTTTCAGCTACATACAGTACTGTTTTCCAAATAGTGATGGTATATGCTCAGGCATAGAGCTCTTCTTGAGGTGCTGGAGACATTTGTCTTCATGTCTTAGCCAGCTCTGCAGGTTATGCCACGAGTTGCATCTCTTTAGGGCAGGATTTCTTGGAGGCTGAAGGGAAGAAGCAGGTTTACGTGTAGGGCATGCCCTCAGGGAGACTGTTACTAATAAAGCAGAGGTCAAAGCTGCTTGCAGAGTCACAGGCAGCTGTGCATGCAAGGTGAACTGAAAGCAGGGAGCGTGACAGTGCAGAAGACAGAGGGATGTAGGCATTGCTGACATGGAGAGAGCGTAACTGAGTACAAACCATTTACATTTTTTTGGTGTATTTGGCTGTTTTCTTTGGAACCGGCAGCAAAACCTTGAAACTGTCCATTGACATTATGGAGGGCACTCTAAGAAGCAGAGTGCTAAATATCTTAGTTTGCTGTACTGAACTCTGCACGCAGTCCTCAGCATGCTTACGTCTGCCTGACCCACTGTTTGCAGACTGTGCTTGCTGTTTTCAGAGCCCCACTGCATGGGACGCGACCTGGACTGCTTCATTTAACAAAACCAAATAGTTGTAGCAGTTATTTTGTTGTTTTTCTAATGATAAATTAAATGCCAAGTTTTCAGTCTTTGCTTTTTCTCATGGCCCTTTAACCCATGTGGTAGGCTTATTTAGGGAACAAGACGAGCCTGGATGCAGTCCCAGAGTTTGCAGTAGCTTCAGATGCCCCTCCAAAGGTTAGGATACTTCACAGGGGATTTGTTCTGCAACGGAGAGGCTAAAAGGAAAGCCACGCTAGTTATTTGTGCTTTTGATTCTGTCCCGGTACAGTTGTGGAAACCAAGCTAGAGAAAATGTACAGAGGCAGCATTGTTGCTGTTGGGTGTGTAGCACTGTTTTCTACTGTAGCCTCATGCCAGAGTTCGCTAAACTTTTCATAAGAAACATTTCCTATGAAATACTGTTGATCTTATTTCTACACCTTTCCAGTAAGAGAAGTTTTACTCTGCCTTTCACATAACAAGTGCATGTGTTTCGCTTTAGATACAGTTCTGTATCACAGAGTGCATGCTTTGGGGGGGGGCTTTCAGTAAAACGGGTGTCAGAATTGTGCTGTGCATGCTTACATGTGGCATTTCATGTTTATGTCTTCCCTGCCTTATACCCTTGTGTTGATAGGAATTACGTTCGATTAATTGCAGCACAATTTGGACTTTTATATGTATGGAACAGCACTGTTAGCAACTTTCCTGCTAATAACGGTGCTGAGGTTTAATACTTTGTTTCCTCTTTCAGGATATGATGATGTTTCAGAGGCAAACTTGAGGTCTTATAGTGTTCATTCTGCTAAACATGTGCAAGAGAACCGTCCTGTGCCCATTCGCAGAAAAAGAAGCATTGGTAAGAAACAAGCTGTTTGTACTCGGGGAGGAAGAACAGAGGGGTGTTTTTGGTCAGCCAAGCAGGGCGTTTCACTGGAAGAATGGGATGTGCACAAAAAGGAAAAAAGGCCATTTCTAGCTTCTGCTTTTCTGTTTGCACAAAATGAGCTGCTGCCTGAGAATCTGTCTTGTGGAGGCTGGCCGTAGCAGACAGACGAGCACAAATTCTTTACATTCACTTTCCTGTTGCAGCATGTTACAAAGCTAGACCTTGGTTAGAAAACGCTGTGATATTCAATGTATAATTCATAGTGTGGGGAACAGCTACAGCCGTTTGCTTTAAAAAAAACATCAACAGTTGGTAGGGTTTTCAGTACAGAAGCTCCACAAAAGGAAACAGCTTGACTCTTTATTCAAAAGGAAAAAACTGTTTATCCGAAAAATTAAAAGCCATTGATGGAAACACTGGGACATTCATTTCGTCGTTGTGTTGAGCACCAGGCATGTTTACAGGGGATTTTTTTCTCATTAAACACTAATGAAGGCAATCCAGTCAAGTCCAGATCCCCCGTTAAAGGGATGCTGAGGAATGTGAGGGCGGTGTTTGTAAGCAGCCCTTGTTCATCTGATTAGACCTGTTTGACCATTTTACTTGGCGGTGGAAAGCATCCACGTTCTTATCTATTTAGGGTAATTCAGAGTCAATGCATTCTAACACGGAGCTGTGGCTGCCCGCAGTGGGTAGCACAGCATGCTGTCGGCATGGATTTGCAGTGGGAATTGGCAAGATGCTCGTCACACTGAATGCCTCTGGAGAGCAGCGGTTCTGAAACAGTCTGCTGCACTTGGCACCTTGCTCTGCTGGGTGTTGGATACCTCTCCATAGCAGTCAGTGGGAACTGTGTATGCTCAATAACATGGAGGAGTTGCCAGCTACCTTGCTATATTGGACCCTTTAATTTTGTCAGGTTCGTGGCACTGGGGATTGAGAAGAAGAATTTTCACTCTGTTCAGATGACCAAAACATACCTCTTTAAAAGCCAGGCCTGGATTTTCATGTTACAGTGCAGGCCAAGCCTGAACTTCTTGTGCTTCAGGAGTAACTGAAGAAGTGCAGGCAGAATTACAGTTCCCTGCCCCGTATGACCCGAAGCTATCACTGCTTCCACTCAAAGGCAAAACATCCAAGCAGCCTTCAGAAAGCTGACCACCAAATGAGCTATCCCTGAGATTGCTATTATTTTCTGGACAGTTTTAAATTACCGGTTTGACTTCCTAGGCAGTCCCTGGGTTGAGAACGATGCGGGGTTTGGATTTCTCACGACAGCAATCACGCAGTGCAGTGGGACGGAGCTGAGGGTGTCCCTGCTTGTTGCAGGGGAGTTGGACTGGATGACCTTTAAAGGTTCCTTCCAACTCAAACAATCTACGATTCTATGATTCCTCTTGTTCTGGTGCTCGTGTGGCTGAAGCTGCCAGCGACAAGCTCACCTTACCTGAACCTAGAAGTGAACTTGTTCAGCTGAAAATGACACTGCAGGTTCCTCAGTCATGCTACTCTTGTGGTTTTGCCTTATTCAAAACTAACAGATAAAATAAAACCACAGAACTTTGCGCAGAACTTTCAATTAGAACAAAATGGCTGTTGCCCACTGATGGCGTGTGGACCAGAGTCCATATGAGGATGTTAAGGTTGTGGAAGTGGAAACTCAAGACTCAGAAGCTTCAAGCTGGCACGGGTTGTTTCCCAGCTCAGCCAATTTGAGTGTGATTAAAAATACCCTCAGTGCAGCTTCTGTGGCTGCCTTTGCCAGGTACTGCATGTTGGTGTGATAATATATGTGAGCAGTGATTGCCCCAATACTATAAAATAACAGCTGCTGTTCAGCAGTTGCTATGAGGCTGTATGGGAGAACTGGCTAAGGCAGAGAAGCCTCTTGCTGTCACTTCTAAAGAGCCAGGATTGCCTTACCTAGTGATATATATATACTCCGAGCTTGCTGGGAGCCGAGCCTTTGTCATCATGCATTTTAGGGCTGGGTTTTCAGGAGCAAGTCCAGCTTTCCCCCAGGGCAGCACCCACAGTGCAGTGGTAGGCAAACAGTGCTCGGCACCGGCGTGTTGGGAAGTGCTGGGTGCTGAGAACTGCCTCGCCCCAGGCTAAGGATGCCGCTCATAAATCGGCAGTGTGCGCTGGGTGGGTGCTCTGAGGTGAGAGCAGCTGTTCACCTGGAAGCGTGCATTTCTTCTGTTCACAGAGGAAGCCATCCCGGCTGTCTGCAAAACACGGACGGTGATATATGAGATACCTCGGAGTCAGATTGATCCCACCTCGGCCAACTTCCTGATATGGCCGCCGTGCGTGGAGGTGAAGCGCTGCACTGGCTGCTGCAACACCAGCAGTGTGAAATGCCAGCCCTCACGGATACACCACAGAAGTGTCAAGGTGAGCAGAGCGGGGCTGCAGAGCCCTGAGAACCTCCTTATAAGTGTAGGAACTTCAGGTGTCGTGGCTTGTTCTGCGTGATCAGGATCTTTAATTCCCATCCTCTTAGCAAGGGGGCTGGCTGCTATGCTCCTCTCTGGTTGAGTGAGCCAAGGGCCTTTTCAAATGGCACGATTGCTGGAAAATCCTGGGTTTGGATTTGGTTTCCACAGGGTTCCCTTCAGGTTTTTTCTTCTCTTAGTAATGAAAATAAAGTTGATTGTGTCTTTCCCATGATCTCGCACTGTGCAAATCTTACAGTTAAGAAGATAAAATGACTCAAGGGGCATTGGACTTAAAAAAACAAAAAACAACAAAAAAAAACCCCAACAAAAAACAACATCTCAGTGTGGAATGCTGTTTTCTTAATTAAATATTATGCAGCCTAAATTGGGCTTTTATATTTGACAACATAACACTTTTGATCTGAAAAAAATGTGTTTCAAATTATCTTACCCCAGGGATAGAAGACTCAGCGGCTTCATGCTGTATTTACTCATTAGACAAAATCCCTGTTGCAATTTTCCAGTAAATACTATGTGAAATATTTCTTGTGTTCATTAGGCTTCACTCTGTTCTAATTTTTATCAGTGTTTAAACAAGTAATGTTGATTTACATCTGCATGTAGGAGATTAGACTTAGCACTTACACTGCTAAAGCTCTGAGTTCGTGTTGCTTTGAGTATTTTAAGAGCAGAATTTGTTTTAAAAAAAAAAGAAAGAAAGAAAGAAAGAAAGAAAGAAAGAAAGAAAGAAAGAAAGAAAGAAAGAAAGAAAGAAAGAAAGAAACCAACCCATGTTCTTGAACATAAAATTGCCCAGTACAACACTCTGATCTCTCTACTTGGAATGGATTTCTTCTTGAGGAAGGTGCTGTTAACCTACGTATGTTGTAAACACAAAGTGTGGCATCTGGGTTGATGTGGAGTTTTTTCATGCACGCAGGCAGGCATCTGAGCAGGACTTCTTTTCTGAGCATCTGAAAAATGTTTTCACATCCAGATAAGCTGGAGAAACGTCTGAAGAGATTTCCTCACTTTTTACAAAAGCAATTCTATTTGCAGTTGCTTGCTGCTTGTCTGCTTGTCCTGTGTGGGGGCTTTGCAGCAACGATAAAAAATGAGGCAAAAAAACTGGAATCATATCTAAGAGCTGAGTGCAAACCAAAGAAGTTGGGGCATTACAGTTGTAATAGGAGCTGAACAGCTAAGTGCTTCAGTGTTATATCTAGTGCTGTTACTTTTCGGGTTTGGTTCAGCTTCCAATTAATTTTGTGTCGCAAGTAATAGATATAAAGCAGTTGGAGGTGGCCAGCAAGGAGTTGTCCTGTGTACTGTGAACCGTGTTGGTGTTTGTGGTAGGACTGAGTAGCCCTGTTCTTGTGACCTGTCCCTGCAGTGCATGGGGGAGAGAGACTGCAGTCCTCAGTTGCTCAGGGACCCCAGGGGCTCCCTAGAAGCCTCAAGGATGCAGCCTGTAACTGGCAGCACCTTGGTGGGATGTCGCTGCTGGGGCTGCTTCCCAGCACACAGAGTCTTGCACTCAGTGCTCTGATAATGCTTTGAGTGCTTTTAGATTTGCATTCATTTTAATAGGGCGCAAGCTAAAAGTAGTCTCAGCTGAGCAGCTGCTCTTTGTGGCTGTGTAAATATATTGCCACCAGCGATATCAATATACGTCAGTCAGCTTTGGAGGACATTTTTTTCCCCCCAAAACTCCAAGACTGCTCCAAATAGTCATTAAGTAGAAGGGGGAGGGGAGGGAGGAGGACAAGAGGTCAAGCAGGAACAGGATGTTCATTGTAAAGGTTGTAGGCTGACCCCACTGTCACACCAGAAATCTCTGAACAGGATCCATATTTATGCCCTCCAGAGTCATATCCTCTTGAAGCTTTGATATAATTGATGGTTTTATGAGCTTTTTGTCAATCTGACGTTCTGAGCTGAATGTCTGCTCATGCCATTAAGTAGCTGGCCCAGAGTAAGGGTCGCTGGAAAGGTAGGGGGAGAGTTCTGGAGAGCCTCTCAGCTGTTCTACAATGTGGTTGGAAAGCTGTCTTGTATTTTCCCCTGATGTCAGACTGCATAAAAGCCCTCTTTTGATTAAACATTGAAAAGGCTTTCCCCACTTCCTCTTCATTGACAAGGTAGTGAGATCATAGCTGGCCCATTCACACTAGAGAAATGTTCACCCAGAAAGGTCAGCAAGTGGGTTTGCATCATCTAACAGGCTGAAGCAGAGGGTGTTTTCTTTGTTTTACTGAGGGCCTCTGTATTCAAGGTTAAGAAACAGCTGAAGCAGTGTGAGAGGAGCAGCGGAGGGGCTTGTACTGGGGCATTCCTTTCTTGGGGACACGACTTAAAGACTATAGGGTTTCAGAATGTCTTCACTTTGCCTTCACAGAGCCATGTTCAGGTGGCCAGCATACTGCTACTGGGCTCATGGAACTGGAGCTGCAGGGAGACTGCAAGCCAGGGGTGTTGGTGGTGTGGATTGGTGACATGACTTCCCCAAAACAAGTTCTCTGAGGTTTCCCCTTTGTTGGGTGGAGCAGTGGAAGGGAGGGTTCCCTGCCCTGTAACATGAGGAGCTCCAGAGAGCTCAGCTTCTGGTCCTAAAGAGCTCTGCTCAGCACTGTACCTCAGCTCAGCTGTACCTGTAACAGCACTGCAGCAATCTGATTGAGATGAAGTACCTGGCTGGGAGTTGCCCTTTGATAGGAAGGAACAAGTTGCAGTTCTATCCTTCTGATAGAGAAATGGTAACAAGGATTGGTGAGGCGGGGTGTTATCTGTTACAGATATATTTCTTCTTCTGTCTGCAAAAGCATTTCAGCAACATGTGCAGATTCTGTTGCTTCTGCACAGTAAGATCACGTATTTACCAAGTACAGAACTGCAATTTATTTTGGGGTTTCTGAACTGAGTCTTGCCAGGATGTTTCTTGTAATATTCAGCACAATTATTATTCACATTTTTGGTCAGAGTGGCAGAAAACAGTTAATATTGCAGAGCAAATCCTGCTTGCAATGATGAGTAGCCAAGCTGAGTATTACTGTTGTTTGCAGCAATGCTCATTTCTAAACACAGAAATGACATAAATCACCTCAGCTCTTCTTTCTGCTTTTCCTTGGGCCAAAACCATAACAACTTCAGCCATTTCTGAGTATTCAGCACTGAGCTGATGGAGGAAATTTAACCTAGTATGTTCATACAGTAAATTAATACAGGGGAAAAGGAGCTGGAGAGAGGGGATGCTGCTCCTCAGCTGTCACTTGGGTGCTGCTGAGAGGTTGTGAAGGGAAGGACAAAAACACAGGAGGTATTCAGCAGAGCTGCCCAGCACCCAGTGGTGTGTGCACGTGAAATGGCTGCGTGTCATGTCTGCAGCCTTAAGGACGTTTTTCCTCAGTGACCCCTTCTATCAGTAGGGTAAGCAGCACTTTGATTTTAGCTGTGACCTAACAGAAGATTACTGCTGGTGGCAGGCAGGACCAGCTGACAGGGAGACCGAAGGTCAATTTAGGAACGGAAGAAACAAGGGAAGCCCCAGTCCAAACCAAGTGAAGTGTTCTAGCATCTTCCCAACATGCCCCACAGCAATCTCAGCCTCTCGTGCCTTTGGGGGCTGCATTCCCAGCATCCTGCTGCCATGGCACGGTGATAGGGCTGCTCTGCCTGGGCTTCCCCCATTCCCACAGCAGTGGCAGCACCCAGCGCCTCGCTCCATGCAAGGAGAGCAATCCCCGAGTGTCCATGCACAGAGCTTCCCTTGGGGATTGGGCTGGCAGAGTGCCCTGCAAATGGAGTTTTAATGGAGTGGCAGCCAGGCTGTGGGGCGGCCCGCCTCCGTGCATGGGGCAGCGCTGCTCAGCTGGCAGCATGTCTCCTGGTGGGCACTGTGCCCATCCTGCCATCCCTGCAGCATACAGGGACTTGGCAGGTCCCTGCTGAGCCCCTCCAGTGCCTTTATGCCTTGCAGGCCTCCGTCTTCCTCGCAGACCTGAGGGCGGTATAGAAAGAGTTGTGAGGTGCTGGAATATGGGAGAAATGTTTAATCCCAGGCAGTGCCCTCAGTCCGTCATTTTTGGTTTTATTTCCCATCCTGTATTTAGCCATCAGCTTCATGAGCTTTGCTGCTCTGTGTGTTGTGAGGAAGTTTCTACGCTGAGATTTCCATCCCGTGGTAACTGTCAGCTGTGTGCTAGGGCAGTTCTGGATGCTGCTGCTTTCAGTGCTGTTTTCATCCCACTGTCATTCATTGATCTCTCTCCTGCAGAAGCTCTAGGAGAGGTGTTTCCATGACATTTCATAGGGCCACATATGTTTTTCAGATTTTATTTTCATTTTAACCTAACCACCACACCATACTGTGTAACGATACGCAGGCTCTGCTGTGAATCAAGTACAGTACCATTGGTTACACACCACTTATCCAAGCTAGTTTGTTGTCTTCTTTCTCCCTCTTAATCCTTATATAGTAATCTTCAGTTCTGGAGGGATTTGAGGTTGTAGTTTTTAGTTCTGTTGCATTAATGACAAGAAGAAGAAGCTGATGTTGGTATGAGTGGTTTGCTGAGGACTGGCCATCAAAGCAGTTGGTATTACATGTGGCAGTAAGTGTGCAAGATAAACAGCAGGGACAAAAATACGAAGCAGAAAACAGACAGTAACAAAAGGCCAAATCCCACACTATTAGCATAGCCATCCCTGTTTATAGCCACTGAAAATCTGACCTGCAGCCTTTATCATTTTAGATTAGCATTAATTGGCAGCAGGTGCTAGGAGATGACACAAGCATGGCAATTTAACTCTTGTGTGTGCTGCTGCAGTTTTAATGTTCACAGCATACTAAAAAACATCATTCCTTCACCTTGCCTCGCATGAAGTAGGGCAGTGAAACGTATGCTGGATTGTATTGTAGCTACAGTGTATTGAAAACCCAGAGATAGAAACTGCTTCTTGAATTCTTTATGATCCTATCATTCAAAGCATCACCTTCTTTGCCCATTTTTTTCTAATGTTGTTTGATACCAAGTAGCCACTTGGAGAGACTGCATCTAACTTTCAGTTTGGCAAACAAAGCAAAACAGGGACAGACTTCAAAATGTTTTTTGTTGTGTGTAAGTTTCAGTAAAGCTGATTTATTCCAACAGTTGTAATAAGCATGGCAGATCTGAAAGCCGTTCTGTGATTGCTGGGTCTCTTTCTTTGTCTGTGGTGATGAAGGTGTCTTAATTACTGTTTGTTTTTGTAAATTTTAAGGATTAGTCATCCTTTCGTGCCAGATGACTTGGTTGTACCATACATTTTCATGTCTTCACACTCAAGGACTTGTTGGACTTGGGTCCTGACAGATTTTGAAGCATACTGCTTTGACCCTTTGTTAATCTTCAGGCTAAAACATTCTTTTATGCCATGGCCAGCTCTTAATCTGTTTATATGGAGATAGGAAGTTTTTGAAGATACCTTTAATGTGGACATCTTAGTTAATGTATCTGTCTCTCCGTAACTTTTGTTTGCTAGATAAATGAAAATGGTCTCCAGATCCTGTTGACAGAAGAGGCGGTGACCAAAACATGGATTTGAAATCCTGGCTCTGTGCAAGCAATGGCAGACCTCCCATTGACTTTAACAAGGCCAGGATTTTGCTCTCGCTTCTGTTACTGTCATTCAGAGGTCCCTGGTAGTTTATGTACATCTAAAGAGCCAAGAGAGTTTCTGGGAACTGGGAATGTGATGTTTTTTCCAGCCACCACTCTCGTTCTTTGAGGCTGTTGTTCCATTTTGGGGAGGGCCAGGGAATGGTTTTCATGGTTTGAAGGTTGATTTTGGAGCTTTGAGACCCTGCCAAGCACACCAGTAAACCATTACAAGGAGAGAGTGAATGTTTTGCTTGGGGGATTTTGCTTGGATTGGACCCTTTGGCTCTGTCATTTAACTTTTCTACAGGCAATCTGCCTCTCTCTTCCTTCTGCTCCCTCACCTATCTCATTTATAATGCATACCTGTATTAAGTTCCTGTTTGCTGGGACAGGCATGATGCAGTCCTTTTTGTCAAGCAGTAGACAGATCACTAGTAGAACTGAGGAGCCATGATTTAATTTCAGTGCTTACCATTTTAAGCAAACGGTTGCCACCCTACTCAACCCAAATGTAAACTAAATTTAGGTACTGTCTAGGGCTCTTTTCCCACTCTGTGCCATTTTCTGTTGCATGGTTGTGCATCGTGCCTGTTACTCTCAGCACGACCCCATGCCCAGCACCCCACAGCCTATCTGTGTCAGTGCCCCAGCCCAGCAGTGCTCCTGTTGCCTGCACTGTGTTCCTGCCCTGCCTGCTGGCACTGGATTGTTCAGGTTTCCTCACATTCAGCATTCCTCAACCTCAGTGTCCTTTTGTGTTGGTTTTCTTTGCATCGAGATCTGCTGCTTCTCCAACATGCTGCTATCCAACCTCGCCTTGCCCCCCAGACTTCTCTTGTAAAGGGCGCCAGTGTTTTAGCACAAAGTCGGGCAGTGCAGTTGGAAGCAGTTGGATGGATCAGAGAGGAGCAGCGTACCTGCTAGCCTTCCACAGCAAGAACCAAAGGCTGGATCTAGTTTGCACGTGGCAGTTCCCTTGGACCTAACAACAGTGTGTGGGAGCTCTTGTAAGCAAGTCTCGGGTTGTTGCAAGGAATGAGTAGAACTGAGATTACTGCTTTCTAGGCTGATACTCAGATGCAGGTCTCTGAAGGTTTGAGTACTTTACTTCCAGAGGACTCTGAAGACAACGATTTGTGATCTAGAAAATGTGTTACGATCTAACTGAATGCCTTTGTTGGTAGCCTTCAGCTTAAGAGCAGTGGTCAACATGTACAGAACAGCATGCTGAAAGTGGCAGTCTGCAAGAACCAACGCCGAGTAGAGTTCCTATATAAGCTTATTGTGATATATGTGAAAACTGAGTTGCCTGAAACATCAAAATGAAATGAGTGGGAAATTATTTTATCTTGGGGGAAAACTGTTTCAAAGTGCTGAACTTGAGTAAACAAATAGCCTGTGCAATAAGTGGTTACATGATGCACAATTAAGATAAAAGAAGATTATTATGCTAACATTTTATGTGGGTTTGGCTTCATTCAAAAATAGAGGTATATAGTTATCTGTCTTCAGTCCTGAACTATGTTAATGTGTCTCAGTACATACCTCATCGTATTTTATAGGTGGCAAAAGTGGAATATGTTAGAAAAAAGCCAAAATTAAAAGAAGTTCTGGTGAGATTAGAAGAGCATATGGAATGCACCTGTACATCAACAAATACTAATTCAGATTATAGAGAAGAAGAAACTGGTATGTTTTCCTTTTATTTTTGCATTAATGCTTATTTCATATAGAGCTTGTTTTGATTTTAGTAAAGAATGTAAAGCAAATCTTGCTTCCAGTGAACACAGTAGAGCCCCAGCTACTTCCCTGGGTGTTGGAGATGCAAAATTAGAAGCAGTTTGTGCTAGATAAAAAAGTTTGGAGTTGAAGTTTAAATTTTGTCAATTCTCATTAGGTTAGACTTTAAATAAAAGGAAATGCCCAATATTGCTCAGGTCTTGCTTAATTAAGTTAAAGGTTGTCCTGTTGCAGCTTTTTGGTGAACTCTGTTGCCTAATTTCTTTGGACTTTGTGGAGACAGAGTTAAGGCTGAGATTTACTTGACCTTGGGGAAAATACGAAACGAATATAAAGCACTGAGGAGTAAATTTTATATTCAGAAGTAATGAGTTTTGAAACAACAGTGCCTGCTTCTGTTGTTTTCTTACTTACACGTAGTCAAGAATTCATTGGCCAGTGTTAGGTTAAATGTGTGCTTGCCCTCTCAAGACAAAACTTAAATAATCCTGGGGAAGGTCATGTGGGGAAGTACTTGTTTCCAATGTGATTTTCATAAAGTGCCTGAAATTACTAGCTCAGATCCTCTTCCTAGGTGTAATGCAGGACTTGAAACATGTTCAGGAAACCCACTAAAGTCACTGCAAAAGTTCACTTTCACCTCTTCCAGGAGCTTAGGGGGTTACAGTAGACTCAGCCCCAAAATCAGTGTCAGTAAAGAGCAAGTAAATATAGGAAGAAAGTTGCTCAGTGGTGATGGATTTCATAGGTGTCTGGGTGAGGACTGCCTCTCTCTGGCATGGAGGCGTTAAACCTGGCCTAAGGAAATGCCAGCTCCAGCTGCTCTGAACAGCAGAATTAGAATTTGTATAAAAGCAACGATAGGCCTCTGTTGTGATTTCTACTTGACACTGATTTATGATCTAAGCAGAGTGTTTCAGCTCAAGCTAGGTTGAGTTATGAGTAGACAAAAACACGTTTTAAATGGTTATTTTTGTGTATATAATTTTTTTTTCTGTCTTGCATTTGGAAAAAAATGTTTGGTCAGATAAATTATGTGCGAAAAAAGGGGTAGAAATTTAATGGAAGAATACAGTTTTCTAGGATTTAATAACTGATGGGAATAAAATTTGTACCAGCAAGTGGATGGTGAGCTGAAAATAGCTTAACTACAGAGCTGCAAGTGTGTACTGAGTACAGCATGGTAACAGTAATTCTAGATGGATCTTCGTAATGACGCATGCGATGCCAGCTTCGTTTATTATTTCTTTACTTTTGTGTAATTACTTTATAAACCGAATGTCAAATCAGATGTTATGAAGTTACTTCTTTAGTGCAAAGGATAATGAGATTTCTTTGAAATGTAAACGGTTTGAGTATTTATGACTTCAGTGTTCAACAAAATGCATTACCTTGGGGCTTTTGACCAGCCCTGCCCTTATGTTAACAGGAAGGCCTAGGGAATCAGGTAAAAAACGGAAACGAAAAAAGTTAAAACCAACATAAAACCTACTGGAACTATTTGATATTCAGGTAGGACCTATATGCTGAACACCCTAATAGCACAAGTACTGGAAAACTTAATCAAATACCATCACTTCAACTTAATCACTGTTCAAAATCTTGACACTTGCTACCTCAAGGCTGCAAAGAGATTAGATTTGATTGGCTTTGATAATTCTACCTGCTGGTATTTTTCCTTTAAGCTCCACATCACCATCAGCATCTTACATTCTTGAGCTACTTCCTTTTCTTGCCTTTTTTAATTTTTTTATTTTTATTTTTTTGGAGGGTGCTAATACTTAAGCTTCTGAAATCTCAAGTTCCATTGCCTCTGCTTTTGTTTCATTATTATTGATTTCTGAGGTCAAACATCACATAATAATGCATGAATGAATTGCCAGGTTACAAACTGTTGTGTTCCCATCGTTGTCTATAAAGCATTGGGTGTATGTATGTAGTAAATATTATTCTTTGCATGGCCATCAAACCCTTGTTTTGGCATGAACTGGGATTGGTTGTACGAGCCCCTGAGGAGGAAGGTGCTTAGAAATGCCACCTTTGTGTTGCAAGGCCCTGTGTTACTTACAGCACAAAATTAAGATCTTTTTTTTGCTCTGTTCAGTCTCAGTAGGATAACAGTCATCAAAATTCATGAGGTTTTCAGCATAGTGAAAAACTAACACCCTCTGAATGCAGAAAAGCCTGAAATCTGTTGGCCAGCGTATTAGCGGTGTATGATGATGAGACGCACGTTCCAAATTGAATACGGAGTTTTCATTTCTTAATGACTTGTAAATTATGCAAATTGCAGCACTTGCATTTGGTTCTAGTGTTTGGAGTGGGAATGATTTGGATTTTGCAGTGTGTGTACCGAATGCCCTTATGATGGTGAACCGAATTTCAAACATCTCGTTTTGCACATAAACTCCCAATGGCAGTGTTCGTTTTTACTGATGTGTCTTTTCTAAAGAATGCTAAACTTGATATCCTGTTTCAGATTAACAGGTATTTATTGGGAGTAGTATGATAGAAGCAAAGATTTTCTAAAATTCAACCCTTAAAAGTGCGCATGTAAACTCAATCAGAGCAGCATTTAGAGCTCCTTGCCCCAGGTTAGTGACTCTTCATGCAGAACAGCTTTTTATTTTTTTTTTTAATTTTTAATTTTTAAGTCATCTGCTTTGAGGATAGGACCTTTGATTCTAATCATAGAGTTATTGTATCTTTTTTCTCTCCTGCAGATGTAAGGTGAAAATAAGCTAGAAAAAAAACTTCTCTCTGGGACATGGATGTACATGGTTTGTTACATTCCTGAACCTACTATGTATGGTGCTTATTGACTGTATACTTTATTTGTTCTCCTGTGTGGAAAAAACAAAACAAAACAAAACTGGCTCAAAAGAACACTTAATGAGAACAAAGAGACAATGTACATTTGTTTAATGTGACATCAAAGCAAGTATTGTAGCACTCTGTGAAACAATAGGAAGCTTCCCTGTCCAAAAAAGAAAAAAAAAAAAAGAGAAAAAAACAGAAAAGAAAAAAGACAGTTGAATGAATGAATGGAGGATACCAAAAGTACCCAAAAACATGACAAAAATCTGAGTGAATAGTGGATTTCTGTCAGAGCAGTCAACGGTGCTTTACGTCAAGAAATGTGCCTGCGTTCTTGATGAAGATGGATGGACACTGATGGACTTCAGGCACAAAAAAAGCAGGAATGTATGAAATGATCAAATGCCACGCAAACACTATAGAACAATACATCCTTGCTTGGTGGTGTTTTAAAAGTCTATACAAAAACAAAGCAACAAACCTTCTGGGGAGCCTTAAGTGGATTTTTTTTTTTTTTTTTTTTTTTTTTTTTTTTTTTTTACACCATAAAGTGATTATTAAGTTTTCTTTTTACTCTTTGCCTAGCTTTTTATTATCTCTTGGACTACATTTGCCAATAACACATATAAAAGACTGGTATAACAGCAAGAACACGAAACATTGCGGTATTTCTCCTAGTGGGATGCAAACTAATGAGATGTATTAAAATAAAAGTGGTATACCTATGCATAATTTTCTAGACGTTTCTTGGTTTATGTTCCCCAACCTCCCCCGTAATTTAAAGCATTACGTAAAAAGAAATAAAGAGGAAAGAAAAGAGAGACGTGCGTAAACAAATCATAGGATATCCATGCAAAAACCCTTTTTTTTTTCCTTTCAGACTTATGCCAGTTGCCTACTAGTGATATTGTGTTAGCAATTGTCATTCTTATCAGTATACAGATACTTTTATTTCACATGTTGGAGCTGTGTGAAATGTACAAGTTCTTGTATCTGCATTGTACAATGTCATGGTGGCATGGGAACTACCTTGCTGCAAATATTTGAACAAAACCTAAAATTCTTTATTTTTGGTAAAATGTTATGCTTTATGTGTATTCAACAGAAATATGTGTTTTTGTAAAGGTGAAGTTTGTATTTTTATCTAAAAATTAACAGTTTTATATACCTGAGAAAGCCTGCTATGTTTTCTTGAACCAAAAAAAAAAAAAAAAAAAGAAAAAAAAAGAAAAAAGAAGAAAAAAAAAAAAGCATTTTGTGGTCATATTTTTGTAGTAGAATAGCCCAAATAACATCAAAATCTATTTTAACTATAGCAGGGCAGATAAAATAGTCTGGCATGAGCCCCTGTATTTTCAAAGTGCCAAAGGATGATGTGTTGAGCTCTCCCTGGATTGCAGTGGGAGCCACATGTCTAAATCCTGCTTTACTGCTTTGGAAATTCAGGGCTGTGCCAGATATGACATGGCTACTCGCTGGGCCAAAATCACTGCCCCACCCCAGTAGTTTGGATTATGCATCCTTTGTTTTGTTTGGGTTATCTCATTGGATATGTAAAATGAACTACTGGATTCTTTTCTTTGTGAAACATCGGCAAAGAGATGAAAGAGTTTTCTCCTCTTAGTTTGGAATGGGAAAGAGTTCATCTTGAGACAGCGTTTCCACTCAAATACAAAATACCTTCAAGTGTGAGTGAGCTGCAGAACCTTAAAACAGCAGAAGAGAGAGTTTTAACCTTTCCATTTCTTTAAGTGTAGTTCAGCCATCCCCCGTCCCTCTAGCTATGTCCAGTTTCAACCAAACAAAGCAATGTTAGCTAACAGGCATTATTGGTTTCAGATGCTAATGCAGAGATAGTTCGTCACCGTTCTATTTTGTGGTCATTTTCCCGGTGTATTTGTTGAGCACCAAAACTGGAAATACATTTAACTAAGATTGTCTGTGCTTGTTTTCCACTAAGTGTACTGTTCACAATGTTATGCACATGAATGTATGTGTCTGCGTTTAAAGAAGTGTATAAAATGTAATTTATATATTTATGTTTCAGTGGGATGCCAATAATGTTGCTCCGTTCCTTTTTTTTTTTTTTTTTTTTTTTTTTGTCTGAAAGATATCTAATGAAAAAGAAATCATATATCCATTAAAATCATGTAGATGAAAAGCATTATGTGACCCACTCAGACACTGTGCAGGTATGAGAGGATGTTGAAGTCACTTAAGTGGAATAATTTGCAAAAAACCTTTTGGAGAGTCCTATGGTCACACTGGCATAAGAGGTTGCATTGAAACATGTGGGCCAGACTCCCTGGAGTAACTCTGTTGTCTGTAACGGAGCTCTGCTGATTTACACCACCAGCGAGTCTGGCCTGTGTGAAGTTCTTGGGAAGAAAGTAAGCTAAGAGGCATGCATTTTGCTGGTGCCAGCAAATAAGTGTGTTACGCCAAATTCAGCAAACCAGGAGAGAATGAAGACTGAATGGAGTCTTTTCCAGTAGTTGTTTGTTTGAGGCTTGTAGTGTCGAGTTAATTTTGTTACCAGGAATGAAACGCACATGAGCCTTTGCTCTCGAGCACAATGTTTATATGGCATGCAGCAGATAACACAAAAATCTCAGGGCTATATTCTCAGCTAGTATAAATTGGCAAATGTTTTTTACTTCAGCCGCCCCTAAGCTAATTTACATCAGATGAGGATCCAGTCCGCAGTTCTAAAGCACGAGGAGCAGTGTCAGGACATACGTGCCATTTGCTGTCACCAGGCTGAGATATTACCTGGAGCCTTGTGAGCATCGCAGGCTGTGCTGTTGGGCCTTCTGTGAGCTGGCAGATAACAACCAGAAGGAACACTAAGTGTAAAGGTTGTGACACAGGAGACATTAATTCAAAGTTAAGTTGGACATTTCAAGGGCCATATCCTCAGCTGGTGTAAATCACCGTTGCTCTGTTGCCTGCAATGGAGCGGTACCAGCTTACACCACTTGAGGGGCCGGTCCTTCATTCTTGCTCATCCCTTTCACTCCTCGGTCCTGCAGGGATCTCAGATTGTCGTGTACTGTTAATGTAATCCTGTGTTCTCTAATACTTAAGCACAATAAGTGAATATAAGAATGAGTGTCAGACTTAACTTTGAATGTCCGAGCTCTGAAATGGTTTGTTTCACCATTGTGGCTGTAAATTAAACAGTTCTCTGTGCATCTGTGAATGCCGTGTCATACCTTCTTCCACTGTCTGTTGGAGTTGGACTCTGCCTGGGCTTCTGAAGTGCAGCGCTTGGAGCGACAGAGGGAAGGGTGTGAGCAGTTGGAGCCGCCACATACGTGATTGATAACTGCTGTTTGTGGGGTGGGGTGCAGCAGGGTGCTTGAGGAGGGACCCGAAGGTGGCAGTTGTTGGAAGTCCTGTTCTCACGCAATGCTTCCATGCCTTGTTGTTTTTGTCCTTGCACAAACTAAGTGGAGGTTTGGGGGCAAGATGTTCTGTTTACATTCTGCAGTTGCTTCACCTGTCCGGAGATTCAGAAGTTGTTGGTCTGATGTTATCCTTTTTGCCGTCTTTTCTGATCAAAAAGCCTGTGTGTAGGGAAGTGTCAGAATACACCTCAGTGTCATCGTACGGTGCATGACTGCTGATTCTCTAGTCAATTTTTTTGCATTTAATTCTGTGCTCCAACTTTTGGAGCTGCCCTTCAGTTGTTATTGAGTGAAATCAAAGATTACGTGCCAGTTTTCCTTCCTCTTCTGCCATTTTTCGTCCTACTTGGCATCCTCTTTGTTAGCACATGGTGACTAGCAATTGCTCCTCTCCAGCCCTGGAGGTTCCTAGGCAGCTCCAGATCTTCTGCGTCTTTGAGCTTAAGCCTTTTATTCTACTTGGAACAGCATCTCATGTATCTCCTCCCTCCAGTGGGCTGCAACATTCCAGCTGTGAGGTTCTCTTGGCTGTCATCCTCAGGTCCACATTCGCCTTCTGTGGGCTGTTTTCCAGCTACTCTCTGCCTGACTTTCCCATCTCTCTGTTTCTCTCAGAAATAATTTTCCCTTCCTCGATTCTTTCTCATCACATATCTCTTTGCTTTCCCTTTGCCTGCGAGAACAGTCTTTGATCTGTTTATCTTGAAATCAATTGCTTTATCTAGGCATGTGCCTTGAGATCTGTCTCCCAGGCTTACAAGCCTGTAACTGACCACACACGTGAAAAACAAATGCTCTTATATAGACACATGTTTATGGAGAGAAGAAGATTCATCTTTGCATGTGGCAAAATAGTGCTGAAGGCTCCCTTAGAAGCTCTGTCCAATTGCAGTAACACTGTAACACTGGAGTAGCGGTGTGGAAGCTCTTCAGACACTCGACAGCTCAATTAAACTCAGTATCCCCATTTACAATTTAATTTGGAAGTGCGCCCAAAAGCAAAGATGAAGTTGCAAAGCTACCTCAGATTTGCATGTTCGTATTTTACTGTAAAGTGGAGGAAATAATGTTTATAAGCCCCTTCCTTGGCTTTGAAACTCTTACCCTGAGCATTGATCTGGCCCTCTCTTGGGCTGAAAGTTTTCGTTGCTTTCAAACCTAAACAAAGCAGAGGTACCTGTTTGTTTTCAAGGAATTTGTTTTCTTGGTGTTTCCAACTCCACTGCTTCTTGAAAAGCAAATCTTGGAGACATAGAAATTGCTGGAACCAGTGAGGTTTCCACTTACGTGTGCTTTAATTTGATGTGGAAGAGAAAAGCTTGTTAGTGTTTTATTCCCCAAAATTGAGCCTATAGATATATATATATACATTTAAATTTAAGTAATTACTGCGTGTTTTCACACATATTAACAGAAGGTATTAGTCATGTCACAGCTTTCCTATGCTGCTCTTTGCTGTAGAGTCTCTGTGTGGCGTAGCCTTGAATGGGTTTGTGCTCATATCCCACTGAAATAAAGAACTATTGTTATCCCATTTTAGGCGAGACCGAGGCATGGAGACGTGACTGTGCAAGGTCACACAGCAAGGCTATGGCAGAACCAGGGATAGGACTCAGATCTGAGTGCTCATCCAGTGCCCTAAATCACACGACCATCTTTCCTTTCCAAGAATGAATCCTTGCACCCTTAGAGATAAATACTGAAAAGATTGAGGGTAAGTCATTTTGCCTAATTCTTGTGCATTGGATACATGATCCAAAAACTGCCATATCAAAGAATGTGGTGACTGATGAAAATCCAGCTTTCTGCCCATGCAGTTATGCAGCCTTTTATGCTATCATGAGCTAGTCATTTCCTGCATCTCTAAGGAGCCAACCTTTTGTGACTTTGTCATGAAAGTTATGCACATAGAACAAATTAAGAGTCCGATTTTATGGGAATTTGTGAAAATTCAGTAGACAATTTTTCATTGTCCTTCCCCTCACTTCATTGTAATTCCTTCCTTTTATGGTGTGGGTAGCATTTCCTAAGGGAGCTGTTTTTATCATAGGCCCAATCCTGAATTCTTTTCCCAGGCCCTAAAGTGGAAAAGCACTTTAAGAGGTGCTTGTGTTTACCCTTCTTCAAACCAGTGCCTGAGCCTGTGACTTTGCAGAAATATTCCATTGACTTCAGGCCAACGGAGCAGAGTTGGTGTCTATTACCCTTTTTCTGATACAGGATCCCAGTTGGGAGACAGGGGTCTTCTTGCCCTTAGAGTGTCAAAGCACGTTGTAGATAACCCCAAATATGAAGTAACGAGAGTAGAACGTGCAGCTGGATTCCCCACGTTCTGCTCCTGTGCAGGTTGCCATTTTGCCTTGTTTGTTCCTTTTTTTGAAAAACTGCTTTTCTGGCAGGACTAGGTTCAGGTCTTCAATTACTAATGCCAGCAATTCCCATTTAAGATGGAACCTCAGAGAGCATAATTTGAAAACTCACCGTTGTATCCATAACAGACACATTGAAGATGAGAAAAAATAATTAGTTAAAATTTCATGTGAAATGTGGTACTTTTCATTTTAAGAAAAGAATTAGAAAAGAAAGTGAACAACACCAGAAGACTGATCATTCATTTTTCAGCTCTGGAATGTCACCTATCAGTCATTCTAATTATTTGCTGCATCAGGCCAAATTATGTGCTGAAGTAGCTCAGAATCACCACAACACATAAAAGTTATGGCTGGTTCTCGTTGAACTGCTACCTATTATCATGGCATATGACTGTAAGGTGGGGCCTGCAATCACAGCTGTAAATCAAAGAACGAGTCATAGGTTAGGTAGTGTTTTCCTTGGATATTGTCTCTAAGTTTGTTGTCTGTACGCTTGTTTCTCAAGTGATGTTTGATGAGCTGTTATGTCAGGTGTGAAGTCAAGAATACGTCGTTCCCAGCCTGAGAGCCGCGTGCTCATCTTTCCAAGATCAGAACTGTTTTGTCCTCTGTAAAGTACCTTTGACCATCCGTAATAAAGACATCTGTTTTATTGTCCATCTTTGAAACTGAGCGGCTGTTAAGATCAGGTGTGCGAAGTACAGAAACACAGATGCAGATGGATCCGTAGCATTTGAAATCCCATGGAAATTTAAAAAAAAAAAAAAAAGAATTGATTCTTGAGAGCAATCAGAAATTAGCAGGAACAAAAGCCATTTTAGACATTTGAAAAGCCCACCTCAGTTTATTTGGCAGGTGAAAAATGAATCCAGGAAATCTAGTGTATATAATGATCATACAGCAACAGAGTAGGTGTTGATGGAAAATGTTTATGCTTAAATCTTTCAGCAGTTAATGATCATCTTTACAGACCATAATACTCGAATACTTCACTTATCGATACATCAGGGCTTGGATGGACTTTGAGTCATATGAAAATGAGACACTCCTCAGGCCAATGGTAGCAGCATGTTCTAGTAACTGATCAACCAATTGCATAACTACCTTGCAGAAATAGATGCAACTCCATTGACTTCACGGGGAATGACAGTTACCTGAGAGCTGACCCGAAACTCTCGGCGTGGAGCAGATAATGGTTCCTTATTTTGCAGTTTAGTGTTGTTGTAAAAATAGACTCATTTCCTGGAGCAGTTAAAACAAGAAAATACGGACGAGCAATTTCCCACAGAGATTCATCCACCCTGGAATCTGCTGAGGTCCCCGGATGCAAACATGTGCTGATAGAAAACATAAAACAGCAACTTTGTTTAGGGAAGCCTCTGACCTGTCAAAAATGCAAAGCATTCATTACCAGACTTTTCCTTGGCAATTAGTGGGTAGAATTACTCACAGAAATTGTTTTGTTTGCTCACGAGGGGAGAAGCAAGACATAAATTCAAGATATCCCCCATTTGACCACAAGAAAGAAGACTCTGTTCAGAGGGGGCTGCGGGTGAAGTGCTGAGTGGCCTCAGCTCCCTTTGGGGATGAACTCAAACTTGTAGCCCTCACTGGCGTATCCAGAGCCCTCCAAAGTTGCTGTGTCCCCCTGCTGTGATTTTTTTCAGCAGTCTCGTGGATTTGTACATCTGTACATTCTATTTCTTTTTTTTCAAGACTTTCAGTAAACCTCAAGTGGTTCCAAAATCCTTCTGTCTCTGTTTTGCAGAGGCTAATTCTGACACAGGGATGTTGTGTTGAATGTTGCTTTCCTTCCCTAGGTATTTACACTCAAATCTCAGCTTTGCTTTCTGCTGTTAGGTGAAAATGTTTTCCAGCAATGACTTTTCAAGTAGCTGTCATATGCTGCATTCTGCTGCTGGAATCAGCGTGACATTTCACATGGGATGTCCTCCTAACGCCAGCCATGCTTCACCTTTTCATTTGTGCTCTGCTTTTACCTGTGTATCCATAGAAAGGAGATGCTGGATGAAGCTGAAGACCAGGGGAGTTGTAAGAGGGCAGATATTCTGCCCTGAGCTCTGCTCTGCTGGAGCCCAGTGCCCAGCTGTGCTCTGCTGTATGGGGCCAGGGAAAGAGGGAGAGATGCTACAACACTTCAAGGAAGCCAAGATACGGTTTCTCATCCTCCAGTCATTTCTCCTAAAGATGCAGTCCTCCCTAACTGCTGTCAAGCCCTGCAGTTTCCCTCTTCTCCTCTTGTCCAGAGGGCCTGTGTTTCCCTGATGCTGACATATCCCTCATGTGGGGAGCATCTCACGCTGCACAAAATGGCTGAGGAGAGGTAGTGTCTGTCCAGTAGGATTCCTATGGAAATTGAGGCTCATGAACTTGGAAGGGAAGACTCTTCTTTGTCCTAAGTCACCCACAGCGAAATGAGCTGCTGAAATGGTTCACTCAAGACAGCTACTCAAATATGACTTCAGGACCTGAATTCCCCCTTAAATGCAATGGATTTGCACAGTAAAAGTGACAAAAGATAATCATAGAATAATAACAGTTGGAAAAGACCTCTAAGATCATCATCAGCACATCAATACCATGCCCACTAAACCATCTGCAATAGGCTGTGCGTGAGTCCTGCAGCCTGTGTATTTTACTGCTGGCCACAAATGCAGCTTTTAAGTCACAGTGTCACTATGCAGGGATATCTCTTCTGTGCATTTCAGAATGGCTCCCCTAGCAGCTTGTATCCATTGATCGTGAAGATGCTGCTGACCAAACCAAACTGTTGGGCTATGTCTGCCTATGTAATGGAGGCTCAGGGACCTCACAGCTGGAGTTGGCAAGTGCAAATGTTTCCCATTAGCTCCCTGCATTCCCCGTAGCTGTGATTCAGCAAGATGCTCAGTGGTAAAGCTGAACTTGAAGCACATGAGATGTTGCTTTGAAGTTACTCACACTTCAAGTTAGGCATGATCTGAGCTGGCTTGCTTGCTGAGGCCCTGAGGAGCCTGCTGCGGTAACGCAGCGTAAGCCTGGTGTTTTCCTCTTGTGCATTGCCTGCAGTGATGCTAGTTTCAGCAGCAGGCTCTCAGAAAACTATTCCATAGCACTGAGAGAAATCAGACATCTTTAACTATTCAGTAGCATTCTAGCAGTAAACTGCTAGAGTAGAAAGCCCTTAGCAACAACTGCCTTTTCTGGGCCTCTGAGGACTCTTCCTTCCTTATTCAACATTTCTTTTCTAAGGCAAGAGAAAAAAAACATCTTAAAATAGTTCCTTGAAAAGGTGGGAAATTAAGCAGATCATATCATCTTGATTTCTTTATCTTGCTTAATGAAGGAAAAGTTTGCCAGCAAAACAAGCATACATGAAGAACACTTTGAGCAACTTCAAAAGAGTTTGTAGGCTAGATCAGGAAAAGATAAAATCAGAAGTGGAAACTTCTAATACACTTTATAGCTCATTACTTACAGGAAATACATTGTCACATAAGATACTAATGAATTTTGCAGGGTGAAGTTTCCAAAAGAAAAAAAAAAGGTACCTTCTGTATCTGAGAAGAAGGGTCTTAGGTTGCTAACTATGGTAGCCATGCAGTGGATGTGTAACACTGTTCAGTGGAAGGATTCTACCCCTAGGAAAAAGCTTTTCAAAGTTGTAAATGTGTATGGTGTTGAATTTCTGTAGCAGCCTCCTGAACTCGCTGCTGAAATGAGATAAAGGGAATGGTAGAAGTCTGTGTTGCTTTCAGCTGTCTTGTTCTACACCACAGAAAGCAGAATGCTGCATTGCATACATCCAGCTGCAGGGAGGACAGCAGGATCACATCTGTATGTGTAGTGATGAACAGGTTATGTTGTGCTGATGCTTTCTATCAGGCACTGATGCTAGCAAAATCAGGAAAGAAGCATGGATACTCAGATTTAATGTATCGGTGGCACTTGCCTGAAAAATTAGTATTTGCCAGATTCTTAACTAACTCAAGTGAAGAAGTAATGATGAATTCCTGTCTCTGGACAAAGGCCTAAATCCCAAGCGAATGGATTTGTTGCTAGTGAGTTGATGTTCCTCTAGGCTGCAGAAAATGTGGAACAGAAATATTTCCTATCTTTAGGAAGTACTCAGAGGTTCTCTGGATGACAAATTGTCCACTGGTGTAAACAAGCCCCTCACTGATGACCAGAGAGCTGAGGGGTTGTACCCCTGGTTCACCTCATGGTTTCCAGTGCAGATGTGCTGTCATAGCTTGAGCTCTTATAGTTTTTCTTGAATACAGCAAGGTATTTAAATATGAGCTTAGATGCTCTTTCTGCCCTTAGACACTGAGATGCCTCTAGACTTGCAGACACGGAAAGGCTGTCTTACTGAAAATCGAGAGGCATTTGCCCTTGTGACAATTTCTGTTCATGCTTGGAAGTGAGATATGGGCCCTTAGGTCATGGAGATGCTTTTGCAAATATTCTATCTGTCCTCCCATTCCTCTGTAGATCAACCTACTTGGACTGAACTGAAAGTGTAAATAACAAACAGCTGAAGGATGGTCTGCGTGCTTCCTTTTGAGTGTTCCCCTTATTGAGTGCTTGAGGTCACATAGCAGGTGCTGTGACCTTAGGGACCTGCCTTATGGAGCCTTTTTTAAGATGCTGACTGACTCCTCATTAATGAGCCATTAAATGAGCTGATCAGTGGTAACCATGCAGGCCAGGCTTCAGGAGAATATTCTTGCTGGGATCCAAGATGGCTCTGTCTGTGTGCTGGCCAGGGATGAAGGGCTGGAAAACTGCGTGGTGGAAGAGACTATTAATGTGATTTTCCACAATTTTCCTTGCAGCTGCATTTTTGAGGAGGGAGAGCGAGATGGCTAGGCTTGCAGTAACACGTTGTGTCGTCATAAATGCTACAGCCACCATCTGTTTCCAGCCCACGACTTGAAAGAAAACTGAGCAGTAATCTCTTAATTCACATGAGCGTTTTACACTTGTGAACCCTTCCCAACCTTTGTCTAATAACGAGGGGAGTGCATGGTGCTAAGGTTTGTATTTTTCCTGCGTGTATTAGTGTTTATTTGTATGTCTCTTTCTGTATATTTTATTTTATTTTGTTCCACGGTCCCATTAAAAAAAAAAAAAAAAAAAAAAAAAAGTTATCTGGAAGGAAAATCAGACCAGTTCCACAGTCAAAAGAAACATAACGAAGGTGAAGTCCCGATTCCACTGACCTTGCTGGCAGAATTCTCCAGGAGGAGGTGCGTTTAACATTCCTTGCTGTGTCTGTCTTAGTTACCTGTTGATTAAAAGAAAGACATTAGAAAGTGAAGAGGCAGGTTGCCGAGCTGTCCTTTCCCTGCAGAAACAGAACTGCTAGAATAGCTGGACATGCGCATTTTAAACCTGCACCATCAGATAGGATGGTAATGGTAGGTTGGATTTTAATGAAAACAAATTCTTCTGCTAATCTTGGCTCCGGGCTGGCCCTCCGTGGGATTAAGGATACCACCTGCTGTGCCAAAGTCCTGCTCAGGTTTGAGGCTGCTGGTGGGTGGGAAGAGCACAAACATCAGAGTGGCTGGTGAGCAATCACAGTCTGTCCTTTTGCAGTGCCCTCGGGAAAGGCAAAGATAATTTAGTTGATGGAAGTAGTGCTCCTCTTCAGCCTGCAAAGCAAGGCTAACGTCATTAAGGATTTCTTTTTGACTGTTCAGCAAAACCAAGGGCTGCTGTTTCTGTGGACCTCCTCTCGTCTTGGACCCAATTTGCACTCCTGCTCCCAGCACAGCCGAACCGGCTGCGTAACTCCTGCACTCCTCTGGCCTTAGGAACGATGACTTCCATCATCTCAACGAGACTGCAGAGCAGTTTAAGGATGAAACGGCTTCTCATTTCATATACCCCACTGCTGCTAGAACTGTAAATCTTTGTTGGACTGGGTTTATAGCAAGCTGCTGCTGCAAGCAAGTGAAATGCATTTTCTGTTGTCATACATATGGTCAAACTGTTCAAAAAGTTGCCAAACAAAGAACTGAGCTCCTGATGGGAAACCAACTCAATCTCTTTACATTTTATTGAAAAATAATAAATAACTCTTCAGGCCGATGGGTCGATCTCGTAGATTTCTGTATCATTTTCTTGCAGGATGAAGCAGTCGGGAAGGCTACCTTACTTCTGTCTTTTATCCAGACTAATTGGATATGGACAAGGGGTGCTGAGAGCTGTCAGCCTAAAGGGCCTCTCCCCTCTTACTCCTCCCATCCTGCCAGGTTTGGTCCCTGCTGCCTCCCACCGCTTTGCCCATCGGCCCATCTGAGGTGTCTGCCTGCGAGTGTGCTGCTCAGAGCCCTCTCCCTGCCATGTCCCTTGGTATCCTTGGAGGTACAAGCAGCTTTCCCAAGGCTGGTTTTCACGTGAGAGGGGGCACACGAAGGGCAGTGGCAGGGAAGGTCTCCGAAATGAAATTCCCAGGAACAGGATTTGCACATTTTATGACTGGTCGGATAGAAATGCAATGGAGCTGAATTACTACTCCTTAATCCTGCTTTCTCGCTTTCCTCCCAGCAGCCTCCTCCCCTCAATTTTAGGTAATACAGAAGCTTATAAACAAATCCCACTGCGTGAAAAATAGCAAAGAGGGGGGAAAAAAGGACCTGGGTTAGGGCTGTGATGGATAGACAGGTGGAAGGCAGGCACCAGAAAGGGACAATGAATGGTAAAAGCCTTTGATGGAAACACTAAAGAGCTATTGAAAATCCAGGGGGTGGGGGGAGGGAGGAGAAAGAATAGCAGGAGGAGGGAAAGCAAGGGAGCCGTGCCCCCCTTCCCTCCGCCCTCTTTCTCAGGATGTTGAAAGTATTTGTCCTTCGTTACAAAATGATTGAACCGCCGCCAGGCCGGGCCACCCTTCCAGCCATTGCACTGGGAAGCTGGCACTTCTGAAAGCCTTGTTGCCTCTCAAATTTTATAGCTTTCTCCTTTGTGGGAGTTTTTGTTTTGTTTTGTGCTCCTGGCAGGATTGTTTTCAGTTTTGCTGCGTATCAAAGAAACTATATTTTGCTGCTCTGACCGACACAGAAGCCAGGTAATGAAAGAAAGAATTAAAAAATTGAGGCCCATTTTTATCAGAATACCCAGCCGTCTGCCTTTAACTGAGTCGGAATTTTGTGCATTTGGTATTCATTATATTACATTAATATTCTTTTGCTTCAGCTCTGTCATTTTTTGAAGGAGGAATTTTATCCTGTAAATAAAGCTTCAACCTTACTGAAATCTCAATGTGTACCAAAGCAATGCCTGTTCTTCATAGTTGTGAGCAGTGAGAATGATATTGCTATGTCATCACTGAAGTGTTGGTTTGTTTTTTTTGCAATAGACATGCACAGGAGAAAAGGCAATGTTTCCCCTTTTTGGAATGGTCTTGGAGCTTCTGGGATCTCCTACATTTGTCTGCAGATGGAGAGAGCTACATAAGAGTGTTGCTGCTGCTAGAGGCTGTATTTATATCGTGTACTTACATGCATATGTATTTTTGTTATCTTGGGAAGGACTAAAGCCATGTGCATGCTCTGAGAATGAGGTCTGGCTGTCTGGATGGCCATCCTCCACCCACAGCCTTGTTAACCAGGAGGTGACCCAGGGCTACGATGTGTGAGTGATGCCACCCACATGCCACTACTGTCAGGGTAAGCTGGGTGTCCTTGTCCTGGAGGGGTGAGAGGAGCCTCAGCTCACTGTGCTGAGCAGTGTGGGGTGGGCGCATCAGCTGTATCACCCCAAGGGCACTGCTCTGTGTAAACAGCACTGGCAATCAGCTGTTCTTTGCCTCCAAGATTAGATCCAGGGATTAGAACTCCGACAAGCTGACCACTCTGGATCATCAAAATAGTCCCAGGAAAGGCAATATGCAACGCATACAGCTGATTTTTCCACTGCGTCGAAAAGAAAATCTCTGATAAAATAACTTTGCAGTAGTGCTTTCCACCTGCGTATCTTCAATACATGCACTGCAGTTTGCAGTGCCCCAGAGGGAGGTTACTCTGCCTACCCCACCTCCAAGCGAAGAGAAAGGGTAAGTGATTTGCTCAAGGTTAGTCGGGGAGTCTCTGGGGATGGTGCTTTGGTCTCCTGCCTTCAAAGGAATTCATCCCAGTGACCAAAGCAAACGGCCCCTGCTGTTCCAAGGCCGGGCCGTGGCGTGTCATTAGCACTTTGTATCTGAGATGCTGCGTCCAGGAAGGTAATCTCTGTCCTTGCAAACTCAATCTTAGTTCTTGAGCGTGGGTGAACGCTTGTCATCATGCCAGGATGACACAAAGTCTAGAAATTATGATGGCAATTAAGGTCATGTCATAACGGGGGAAAAATGCTGCCTCAGAAGCGTCCCCGTTTAGTGTCACTGCTAATGATTATTTAAGCTGCAGGACATGACAGATGCAAAAATCAGGTTGTAGCTGTTATGACTCATGCCTTGAAATAACATTTTCCTTCTTACATTGTGAAAATTATGGAGCTATGGGAAGTGAGGGAAAATAGGATTTCCTTGGAGGTTACAGATTTTCCTTTAATCAGCTTTCATAATGTTAATTAAATGTTTGGAACAATGGCTCGGTCCTGGGATCCGCCCGTTCTTGTGTAACCATCTCACAATACCGTTTTCACTTTCATGTTTATTTGCCAGCATGATTCAAAGCGTGAGCTGAGCAAGGCTCCTGCTTGAGGAGCTCCTTGGCTTTTGGGAAACTCCACTCCCCCTGTTACATTTCCTACAGAGGCATAAACCTCCCTCTCCTGAGAAAGGGCAGCTGAGGGGGCTCACAGCACTTTCTGTACCCTCATTATCCTGTTAGTAAATGGGGATAATAAAAACTCTTGGTGGGATGCTGATAGAGATGCAGAAGAGGGCTGCTCTGAAAGTAATGCCTCCTGTTATTTATGTTGGCCACGATGTCAGAGGTGGATGTTGGTGGGATGGCAGTAGGCACTGAACCTTCCCGCCAATATACCTTCATGTTTTGTTGCTGTGTGACAGGCGACTGCATCAGGAAGTGTCTGTGAAGCTGTGTATAAAGCAAAGTAGTGTCACTGAATTGCTCCGTGTGGAACTGATGTTCATCAATGCTTGATGAATGTTTCTGGAGAATGTGAGCACAGCGAGGGGTGGATGGTGCATTTCAGCAGCAGTGGCAGTGATGTAAAGGACAAGCCACATTCCGGATGGCCATGCCCTGCTGTCACACCACCAAACCATGAGCGTCTCAATCAGCTCACCTGCGCAAATTGGCTTATGGCAGTGACTTATGATGGTGACAGTGCTGAAAATCAGTGCTTTGTAGCTGAGAATGTGCTCTATCAAATAGTGTTATTGTGCTCTTTGTTGTCGTTACCGTGGAAATAAACAGGAGGCGTTTCTTTGGGAGTGACCTATGTATATACCCAGCCACGTGGAGAAATAGGTGTGTCTATGGAGGTTAATTCGTGGATAGATGCATTCCGGATGATGCAGTATATTACAGTGCCACTCATTCCCTGAAGTGCACACTCTCTGCAGCATGATTTGTGCCTGTAGGAGCCATCCCTTCCGGTCCTGTGCCACTGCCTCACCCCATGGGACAGGAGCTGTGCTGGGCAGATTGCCACAGCCCAGGAGGTCCTAGTTCTGAGCTGGGGTGTCTGTCGTGGTGCTCTGAGCCGTGCCTGTGTGTGTCCTGAAGCTGCTGCAGCAGCATGCTCACATCAACACAGGTGTGCATCCGGGCAGCCTGGCTGCCTTTATTCCTCAGGTTAGAAAAGGCTTTTTTTCAAAAATACCATTTTGAAGCTTATGAATTTCAAGCAGTATCAGAAAAAAAAAGAGGTAGAACCTACTCTATTTTAGTTCAAATCTAGCCCAATATGTGCGAAATGCTGTTTCCTCAGAAGTAACGTTAATTAGCCATGGAAGAGCTGCCTTGTTAAGCTACAGAGATGGAAACAAGAAGTGGTGAGTACAGGGCAGTTCCATTCCCTGCAGTGGGGATGCAGCTCTGGGTGCAGGAGGTCTGGCTCCTGCTTTCTGGGCAGCGTGTTCCCTTCCCTGCATGAGCTATTTGGATGCAGCCGTGCCACTTCTCAGTGGCAGTTTCCCTGTTGTCACAGTGCTTTTGTCTGCTCGGAGAGAAGGTGCTCAGCAAACAGGAATGCTGGATGTTTTTTATGTTACTTATTTCTGATTCATTGGTTCTAAATTAGTGGCTTGGAGGCACATACCTTTACTACGAGTAGGGGAGGAGCTGCCTCTCTTCTCCCCACCTTTGGAAACTTTGACCTGCTAAGATCACACGCTGTAGGAAGTCTCTGAGATGAGGTCCCAGGTGCTGCCAGCAGCAAGGGGCTGGGGCAGCTGGTCAGGTGTGGTTGGAGGGTGTTTTGAGGGAGTTTGGAACATCTGGCTCCATTTCCAGCAACCTAATACACAACAGGCGAGATATATTTCAAGTCTGATTTTGACTGCATGGAGGCTTCTTCCTTAATACGGGAATTGGCTGTGTATTTAGTGTATAAAATACTTGTTTATTCTCTGTTTGGCAGCGCGGGACACAAGAGATCGAAACTTCCCCTTCACACCCCTTTGATTAGCAGAGGAGTGGCAGGAGGAATTTTTCCTCTCTTGGTCATTCTGGGCAACCTTTGAGTCCACTTTTCCCACCCTGTTCCCATGCGAGCAAGCCTTGTGCCGGCTGGGAGCCGTCAGCTGCCCAACCCTGTGCTAAATCCATGGCGAGGCGTGTAACGTGCCTGGCACCATCCGTATCCCACACAGTTCCCATCCCAGCAGGGATAGCACTTTTTTTTTTTTTACATTGAAATATGAAAGCTTATTTCAGATAGCTGAGGGAGCCATCAGAGTTACCAGGCTGGGTCTTTCCATGTTGTTGGCTGTGAAGCTTCTCACCCTTTTGCAGGCTCAAAGCCCTCAAAGCCGTTTCTCTCCCCTGGGTCCTTCCTTGCAGATGGTAAAGCACACTGTTAACTGACACACCAAAGAGATGCACCATGCTGTCTGCACATTTTCAGCAGAAACGAATGAAAGTTTTGCCTTCAGCTCGGCTTGGCATCATCTCCGGGTTCTCTTTTGGTTTCTATTCCCGTGAATCATTTCTCCATTCCACTTCTCCTTTGTTTGTTCTGTAATTGCTGGCTGAACCTGGAGGCACAGCTTCCCTGTGGGAGCATCACTGCCGTCAATCAGAGCGGAGAGGTGGTACAGCTGGTACAGTCCTTCCTCCTGCTCCGAGTGAATGAATCATCCCCTGAATATGCAGTATCATTCAGGACAGGAGCCAGGATCCTCAACAGACACATGAATTCCAGCATCTTTGGAAACATTATTTCCACATTTTGGGCAGACTGAGACGCAGTAAATAAGCAAGCTGTGGCATTTGCAATCTCCGTAGTTTTATTTAAAGTGACTGTCTGCTCTAAATGCCTGTACGGGTATTTAAAGCACAAAGAGTAAAGCATGTATCCTTGATCTGATACTGCCCAAGGCAGCTTCACAGTATGGCCCATTTAATGCCACTGAGCAGTCCATTGAACAATTAAGAACCCACCAGAAACAGTAACTGCCTGCTTTCCTCCTGAAGATTCACACAAACCCATGCGTCCCAATCTCTGCTGTTGGTCTCTGTGTTCACTCCCACTTTTGTTATTTTTCCATTATTTTGGCCACTGATTAAGACAGCAAACTGCAGGTGTTCGCATACAGTGCTGAACACAAAGCACTTTGCCTGGAAGCATGGAGCTGAACAGGTGGCCTTGCATTGCCCTGAGCTCTGGCTGTACATCTCAGGGCCTGGGGATGGAATAACAGACGTGGAGTAAATGGAGAGCATGTCTCAGTTAGTCTGTGGGTGAGTATAGAAGTGCTATAGTGAGGATAGAAACCTTCATGCCTCAGTTTCCCAATGGAAGGTTAGCTGGTGCCTGCCATCCCAACCAGCGCTGCCCTTCTTTGCCTGCAGTTCCCAGCTTGTCTTGTGAAGAAAAGCCCATTACATCCTCTCAAGGTGACTTCCTTTGACAAAGTTCTGCCTTTAAATACAACACGATTAGATAGTCCATGATACAGCTTTTTATAACATCACCCAGTTTTCCCAATGTCCTGGGTTGTGCTGATGAGTTCGATAAAGCTGCCCGTGGTTAAGTGTATGCATGCATCTCAGTTCAGTGTTGCAGGGAAAGGGAAAGAAACACTGATCCGGTAGAGCAGAGGAAGACCAGTCAGGAGGGCTATGATATCGCTTCCAGTACTCTAATTAATACCAATAGGTAAGATGTTCTCTGCTTTGTTTACATGACGAGGTTATAGCTACATGTTAACCTTCATCAGTCCTTCTGATGGTAACAGTGAAAGTAAAATACCATTAAAATTATCTTCCTATATGTTTAAACCACTCTGGCACTTCTCCAGGCAGTGTTTGTGCCCCTGTTTATGCTGCAGACCTTTGTGACCCTAGAATACTTTTATTTACGAAAGCATAAGCATCATTTCCATGGCAACATGCTTTTCAGGCTGCAGATAGAGGATTGCAATTTCCTAAGCAGCAGAAAAAGCAATGCTGATTTTTTTTTTTCCCTAATCAGCTAGTAGCAACTTTCATGTGCAAAATCCATCAGCCACGATAAATCATTTAAAAACTATATTATAATCAACGCAATTTTAAATCTCAGCATGGTTAGCCTAAAAATAAGGACAGTTAGATCCAGTTGTTTAATGGAAATGAAGATTGTGCAATGACATCCTCACTGCTGCTCCAGCAAATTGGCTTCAACTTGCTCTGAGATCCAGTCTGATGAGGAGCAGTTTGCTTTGCTAGAATGAGACATTATTTACAGAAGAACTACTGCATGATTATTATCCTCTATGGTTTTGGACAATGCTTTTCCATATTGGAGGAGATAATTAAGCAGGTTTGAAAGAGGTCCAAGCTGTAGATAAAGGAATGTTATTAACAGATATGTTGGTTACTGGCTTGTGTGAAATTGCACTTGGCGCCTTCTGCCTTCAGAGAGCATTGGGATGGAGCTGAGCCCCTAGAGGTCATGCCAGCAGAACCCTTCCTCAGTTGCTGGCGTTGAGGGCAGCTATACAGAACTGGGTCTATAAGGAAATGTTTCTTGGCAGTACCACAGCATTTCTTCCTCAGTCACCCCACAAACAGGAAAGCTGAGGTGCTGGAAGAAGAATGATGTGTCCGAAGTTGCCCTGGTTGGCACTTGGAGATGTCCTGGAGTCCCACCAGGAGCCATGGCCCACTGATTGGGGCAAGATGTTTCAAGACTGGAACCATCCCCTGCCCACATCACTGGGACTGCTGCAAATTATTTGGGGTGGCAGGTAAGGTAATATTAGGCTAAATTCTGTAATCATAGAGGCTCGTTCCTACTTGATAAAAGGGAAAAGTGCTCACCCTCATGTTGGCTGCGATGGAAAGGAGGAAGGCTTTTCAGTGTACTCTTATGGTTTCAGGCTTGAACTTGGAACTGTTTGTTTTTGCTAAGCCACCCCTTCCGCCCTAGTTAATAGTCAACTTTGAAACCCAGCTTTATGTCCCATGTGTTTGATTTACATTTCAAACGCAGGACCAGCAGAGCAGGCTGTCTAAATCACTTGTCAGCACAAGGGAAGGAGGTGACACAGTGGGAGAAAAAAGTGAGACATGGTATACCCAGTATAAACTCTCCAGCAGCTGGGCAATGCTGTTACTGGGAGAGTCCCCAGCAAGCAATGACTGCTCATCTTGCTGAGTGGTTGAGGTCTAACCCAGGCAACACACAGGGACTAGCTTGTCTCCTTTGATTTATGCTTGATTCCTCCAGCACTGCAACCCTGCATCCTGTTTTCCTTGTCTGCTGCAGCTGTACATTAGGGTGATGGCTTGGAAAGACCTAGCAAGTGAAGTTTCTTTTGAAACCAAAAATAGCCCTTCACGATCTTATTTTCTTTTTGGTCAGCATCTTGCAATCTGAAATTTATCACCTTTCTGAAGCTGGAGTGACATACAGGAAACCTATCCAACGGCGAGCCGGAGGGCACAGGGCAGAGCAAGTTCACCGGCCACTTTTGAAAACCGTCTGGCTGGAAATATCATTTTCAAGTGCTCTTTGATGAGGTAACATCAAGGAGCAAAGCGACTGCACACGCCACGCAGGCCAGCGCCAAATGGTTTGCACGGCCAATCAATGGGGCATTGAGGGAAGGGGAAACGTTTGCAGAATCAGTCAAAAATGAATTAGATGTGTTTTAAAGCAATTACGTTCCAGACTGTTGACTTGGAATGACACAAATATGGTCGGCCAGTACTTAGAGCCCTTCACAGCATGGTCTGATGGACGTGGTGATGCCTAATGCTACCCTTGTTGATGTTAGTCAGAGTCACGCGTGTGCATGTTTTGACAACTCTGACCCGGTGTGCTTGTACAGCAGGATGACCTGCTCCTTTCATCTTTTAAACTGAGCACCGGATCATGGGGCTGCAGATGGAGCAGCCCTAGAGATGGCAGGGGTCAGAGCCAACGTAGAGCCTCAAATCCAACACTGTCAGGGCCGGCGTCAGCCTCATGCCTCTCCAGTAAGCCCACACCCACCTCAGCTTCTCTGGATTTTACTGGAAATAGCGATGTCTGCTTCTTGTGAGCCTGGTAAGAACTACCTGCCACGTTCAGCCAATGTAAAACCTCATAAATTAATTCACCAGCTTTATTCCCGGAGAACTGTTTAATGCTCAGCTTCTCCATTGCTGCACTTTCAGTTTATTTTAACGATGGTGCCTTGCTCTCAGTTTCACCACACACGTCCTCTATTTGCTAAAAATGTACTGATGAACATGAGCTGTATTACCAGAAATCACATTCCAGTTCCTGTTCCTTGGCTCATTTCTCCCTCATTTCCCATTACCTTCCTATTTTAAGACTGAATGCATGACATACCTGTCAGCTAGATCCACTCAAATATTTATCCAGTAATTTAATCAGTGAATTTCATGGCAGATTGCTGACTACATTGACGATTTTCTCCTCGTTCACATAGCAGCACGTTAGGGAGCTGGAATACTGTGGGCTCATGCAGGAGATGTATGAACTCAATGAAATTTATAAATTGTAAGGAATTTCTCCCTTGACACCTGTGAGGTGCCTCAGCCAGCTGCTGCACTAAGGCAGCACTGGAAAGCACCTGAGTTGGATCAAACTTGGACATGCGACCCTGTTTTTGTTTCAGATGTGGGCCAGCCTCTGGCACATGGCTCAGAAGAGGACTAAGTCCACTAAAACAGACCGAAAGCCACACAAAACTAGCTCCTTTCTTGACCCAATCCCAGTTGCCAGACTAGAGCAGTGTCGTATGCTATACCAGACATCCAGGCTGTGTCCCTGAAGCTCCTCATGGTCCCAGGCACACCTCATCTAGGCTGAATTCCCAGCAGGAATGAGCTTCCCAGAGCACAAAGGCGGAACACCCCAAACCATCCAGCCGTGTGCCTGCCCCAGGGCTGGGTGCCCCAGGCTCTGTTGGTTTGGCTCATCAGCCCTTTCTTCACCTCAAAATGGGCCCTGGAGCAAAGGGAGGAGGAGGTGGCACCCTTTTACGGTGCCAGAAACAGCTCAGCACTATGTTGCCCCGAGGCAAGGCACGCTGCACACTCAATGATTTCAAAAGAAGCTTAAAAAAATAAAAAAGGAAGAAGGAATGAGAAACTAAGTCAACACACCCTGTAGGTAGGTTCTGGCTTCTCTGGGGAGGATTAGAATATAAACGTCTAATTCTGTATCTGTTTAATGTGTTATAAACAGCTTGTCCTTTTTCTCATTCCCCCTCCTCAAACCTGAAAGCGCTGCTTCTTTAGCAGATAACGCTCTGCCCTGACGGGATGGGAGAGATGTGGGGTATGCACAGATATAGATAGTCTATCATCCATTTCCATTAATAGGTATTAAGCATAGGGATACAAAGGATGCTCTCACTTTATTGCATCCTGTGACCGCTCTCCAAGAATCTCGTTACTTCATGTTTGAAACATCCTTTGGAGGTAGATGAATGCGGTGTCCCCCGCTCGTTGCTGGCTCTGGGAGCAGCAGCACACTCAGGCAGGCGCTCACCGCAAGCCCTGGCTTTGGCCACAGTCATCCTGCACTTCCCATGTGTGTGCTTAAAGGCTTTGCTGGACTAGCTGAGCTAGTGTGCTTGATGTCTTGCAGGATAGGGTAAGAAGGCAGAGAGAGATAACGGATTTTATCGTGTTCCCAGGAAAGTTCACTATGGTTTCATTGATTTCTGCAGAAAAGAAGCTGTCCTTAAAGAGCTCACACAGCTGGGAAGGGAGCCTGGGAGATCCTGGTGCCGCATCCTATCCTTGAACTCCATACTTATGAAAGGAAAAGAGAACATGGAGGTGTGGATACTGTCTCTTACTCCAAAAAAGAAGAAATATTCTTACATAATTGATGTAGATCTACAGTCATTAAACAGTGATATAACTAATCCTGCAGTAGGCCCTGCAGAAAGGCTGCATTAGATATAAGCATAAGGCTGGAGACTGTGCCTTTTGGAATACCTTGGCAGGCTTACCAAAACTGAGATAAACAGATTCTGAGAAGTGTGGATTTTTTCTTTCTGTCATACCCTTACTTAGCTGAAATTCCAGACATGATTGCATTTTACTTGGGAATATCTCCTGCAGAAGTGGTACGAGCTGTAGTAGGAAATAGCTTCAAACTTATTGAAATTCATGGCATTTTTTAGTACATCAGTAACCTCAAACAGCTCTTATTAATTGCTGAAGAAATGCTGCTTTCACTTCTGAGATGGCAATGGCAGATGTCAGCCAAGCCAGGAATCTGACAACATTTCTCAGCTGGAACATCTCCTCTGCAGACTTCCGTGGATGCAGCAGACAAGGTAGTTCAGCATGCCCTGATTTTCTCAAAGCTCTCTCAAGAATTATAATAATAATTGCAGTATGTTAGTTAGTCCTTGGGGATAGCTCCATTTTCCATGCATGTAACCTTTACTGCTCTGGGATTCAAGCTATTTGTTTTGGCAGCATGAAGCAACCCATAACTTTACCACGATAACCATTTTTAGTTTGGCCTGCAGTTTTTTTTTTTTCTTTTTCAAATCCATTGGTCCTGAGAAGCCAAATTCTTGATTGTATCTTGTACCCCCCCCTCCCCTCTTTGCTCATAAGGGAGTCCTCAGAGCATCCGTTCTCCCTCCTGGCTCTGGCTTTTTCTGGCCTTGCTTACTAAGAGGTCCGTGTTTCTGTTTCATCATTTCTGTGTTAAATATATTTGTCCTTGAAACTTCTGGACGCTGAGGTAGGGAGGTTCCATGTTTATCACCTTGCAGGAACATCTGAATTACATTTGTCAAATTGACAGGTCCTAAGAGCAGGAAAAGCAACACAGAAGTCATTTTGTTGCCTGCCAGCTCTGAGCATTACACACAGAGTTTGGGTTGGTGGCTCTTGCATCGCTACTGGAAGAGAAGTTCTGTTCCTTGGACGTAACAGAGCTGATGAAAATAGATGTGTGCAGCTCCTGCTGACATTCTGCTCCATTGCTTTCATAAGAGAAAACATCAAAAACATCTCTGCAAGAAAAAAACTATTCAATCTGTTGGCAATGGTTTGCCATCCAGCAGGTTCATGAAGGCTGTTTTTATGGGTAGTTCTTTTTTCTGATGTCCAGTATCCAAATATAGCAGATGTGAGTGTTTTCTGTGTTTGAAAAGAGGAAAAAGAACCATTTTGAGGGTGGCATGTTAGGTGCAGAGCACATGCGAGGTGAGGAGGCAATCAGGACCCGAGCACCTGGTGAGGACCTGCACTGATTTGATCTCCACAACATCCTGGAGGCAGCTGTCAGGCTGTAATTGAATTACAGCAAAATGTGGGGCTGCTTCTCGTTGCACCATGATCAGGTTCAGGCCAAAACCTGTGCAAGGCTGAAGTGCAGCAAGGTTGTCTTTGCTCTCTACTTTTGGAGCATATTCCGCATTGCTTTTGCATGGCACACTCTCAGCAACTGCACCACTACAATTAGACCTGAGCAAAGCGGGAGATTCGGGGAGGGATTATGTTGAAGAATTTGTTTTAGGAGTGCAGGAGAAGTGGCAGAGCTTTGTGAGACACTGGAAAAACGTCTCCAGCAAAAGACATATATCAGCCTGCTGACAATGCCTGCAGAAACTTCTGCTATCTGCCTGGCTTGTAGGATGGATTCAGCCCCCTGTGCTCCTAAAGGTCCATCTGTGGTAAGTAGTGAGGGACATTTTGGGCTTTGGAGCTATGCCTCCCTGCAGGATGGTCGCCCAGTTTTGCTGCTAATGAAGACTACACAACAACCAATGCTGCTTTTTGGCAAAACCAAATGTGTAGATATAAAGATACTCTTCAGAAACACCAATGGGTTTGTTCCCATAATTAGGAGTGGATGAGCTTCACTGCTAATGTATTACTATTAATTATTTCTGTATAT